CCCCCCACCATGACTCTGTGTATTTCTGTCCCCAGCTCTTGTCACCGCCTGAGGCCTCGAGAGACCCTCGGTCCCCCCCTGCCCCTTCCCCCCAGGTTAGCAATGGGGAATGGCTGGGAAGGGTGTCTCCAATATAGTGGGCTTCCAACCCCCTCAGTCTCTCTCCTGTGGTCAAGATGTCTCCGTCCAGACAGACCCCTTGGCACTGCTTAGAGAAGCCCCAGACGCTGGCAGAACTCTTAAGACATCCCCAAGCCTTCAAGAGACCACACACATGCTCCTTGACCTTAGACCCTGATCTTAGATCCTGGTGGCTCTCAGGACGCTGTTAGAACCTTCCCATAGAAGGTGCCCCTTGAGAGATTCCCCGACCCCTCCCAGAGACCCTGCCATAACCTTCAGGTGAGCCTTGGCCCCCCCGCTCTGGAGCTATGCTCTGGCTCCCAGGGCACTGCGGCTTTTGCTCCAGCCATCGGCCCTCCTCGCCCCTCTTCTCTCTTACATGTTTGTAGGTTAGCCCCGCACCCCTGCAGCCCCGCCAAGTCCTCCCAAGTCCTCCCCACGGCTGCTCCCCTACATGCCTTCCACCGAGCTCCTGCCCATGCCCCTGCTGCCACCATCCGCCTTGCTGCCCCCTACTTTTTTGCCTCAGATGAGGGGGCCAGTGGGAGGAGGGGTGTGGGGACGGGCTGCGTGGGGATGGGATGGGGTGGGGGAGGCTCGGTGGGTGCCACCCTGCCTCCTAACCCTGAGTCTCTCCCCCCTCCCCATGTCTGAACCTTTCTCCTCGGTGCGACTGACTGTCGGATTTGTTCACTTCTCTCTCTCTCCATCTCCTTGGCCCGCCTCTGTCCACCTCTGCCTCCTGCCCTCTGTCTGTGTGCCTCCGTGTCTGACGGTCTCTCTGTCTCTCTCACTGTCTCTGTCTCTCGCCTTCTCTGTCTCTTGCTTTTCCTGGCTCTGTCTCTTTCTCCATCTGGTGTCCATTCTGTCTGTTTCTCTCCTGCCTCCCGCCCTCTGTCTTGGGGTCTCTCTGTCTATGGGACCCTACCCGTGCAACCCTACTCCTTGCTCCCTCCCCGTGTTTCCGCCCCTCCCCCCAGGTTACGAGAAATCCCGCAGCCTGAGCAGCATCGCGGGCCTGAGCGGGGTGTCTCTGCGCCTCGCGCCCCTTGCCACTCCCCCGGGCTCTCCCAGGGCCACCCGCCGCGCTCCCCCAACCTTGCCCTCCATCCTCTAGCGCTCCCCTCCCCCCTGTGGGGGGACTCGGGGGTGACAGGGAAGAAGGTCAAAGGAGCTGGGGGTGGGAGGGTGGGGGAAGGGTTTTTTAAAAAATCAAAAAGTCATTAATAATATGCAACGGAGACGACCACGCCAGCAGACACCCCCGGGCCCCTCACCCCCACCTGGGCCCCAGGATGGAGGGGGAGGGGCCAAAGCCCATGCTCCCCAACTCTCCACCCCCCTAAATAAAGCCTTCTCAGGTCTCCATGAGCCATAGGACACCCTCTCCCATCAACTCCTGTAAATACGTCCAAATTATGCCAATTACATTTGAGTCACCTCCCCTCTACTCTGCATGCCTCCCCAACCTGGACCCCTCCCCCCAACTCCACCTCAGCAATAAGCGCCAGGGGCTGCATGCCACGTGGTTGAGGGAAGGGGCACCGGGGAAGGGGCAGGGACCTCAAGGGGGTTGGGCAGCAGGAGGGTCTCCTAGCCTCCTAACACAGGAGGGTCTCTAGGCTCCTATCCTTCACCCCACGAGGGCAACCCATCATGCATTGATTTAAAATAATTAGTGACAATGTGGGGGAAGGAAGAACAGTCACCCAAGCCAAAAACCGGAGCTGAGCTCAGATGGTAGAAGGTGGGGGCTGCGGACAGCTGCTCCCTCAGCCTTTAGGAGGATCCTTCTGGTGAATTGCACCCTTTCATTCCCCCCTCGCCCAGGGACCTGCTCGCCTCTGTTCTTGCTGCATGGACTCAGACCTCCCATCCCGGAACTCCTGGGATGGTCTGGCCCTAGCACACCAAATTCCCCAACACCCCCTCCAGATTCCCAGGACATGAGACCTGCACCCAGAATTCCTGACTGACCCTGGCACCCCGAGTCCCCTAGGCCCCCACACACTCCTAGAACCTAACCTCTGCACACAGATGCTGCCCCACAAGCCCCATGCCAACCACTTCCTGGAGTGCATCCTGGCACCTCTCAGTCCTCCAAGAGGTGGCTCAGCCCTGCAGCTCACTTTAGCCTTTGGGATGCTCCAAAACTTCCCAGTCTCGGACATTTCCTGGACACCCCCAATCCTCAGGCCTCAACCCCACCCGACACCCCCAAATCTCCGACATCAGACATCCACCTCAGGTTCCCCTGCCGCTAGAATTTCTGATGGGCCCAACCTGTCTGCAATTCCAGGGAACCTGACCTTTCCAGGGCACCCCTTTTCTTATGCCCAGCCATGTTCCCCCAACAGCATCTTCCTTTAAGTGGTACCCAAAAGGTACCCTCTTCATGGACACCAGTGTTTCCCCGAGGGTTGTGTTTGTGCCTCTGCTGAGGTGCTCGTTAGGCGGTGCAAGGACAAGCACCTGACGGATTTTGTCTTGCACGAAAGGTTTTGTCTTTCACGGCACTTCGCACCGAGGCCAGCAAGTCCAGGTACGACTGCTTGGCCAGGACAGTTTATTTAGGTTAGGAGTGTCTCCATTGAAGGTAGAGACTGTGCCTGAGTGGACGGACACTGGAATATCAGCAGCTTAGGAAACAACCTACGCACCTGGCCTGGGACCCCAGCCCGCCGTTCCCCAGGCGTTCCTCGGCCCGCCACCCCTGCGGGTGGAAAATCACTTCTCATATCCCATCCTGGCTCAAGGATGCGCTACCTCCCCCAAGCCTGGAGACCACACGGGTCCCAGAATCCTTAGAGAACCCCCCTTTTGGAGCTGGGGGCCCACAGAATTAGCAACCTTCCTCCCTGTGCTCCCACAGCCTCAGGAACCCCCCCACCCCCCACCCGAGGGGTGGGGGGGTGTCACTGAGCACGATTCTTGATGCAACGATTCCTATGCAAGGGGCATTTTGAGCCCCCCCCATCCTTCCCTCGGACCCTAAACCCTGGCGAATCAGGGGTGAGGGGTGGGGCAGGTTCTGCGGGGAGCGGGGCCGGGCAAAGGGCTAGGGGCTCCAGACACCAGGGTATGGGGGTGGGGACTGATTATATTGCCAAAGGGTTTAACTTCTTTAAAAAAAAATAGCCCCCCCACTCCCCAGACCCTCACGGAAGCCGAACGGTGCGGGGAAAGGGGGTGAGGATCTTTTCCAAAGGGTACAGACCTCTTCCCAACGTCTCCCCCCTGCTCGCCAATCTGCCACACGTACCCAGCTTTTTAGTTCAGCTTTTAAAAATAACTACGACCATTATAAGCCTCTACAAAACGTGATTTTCATCCCCCAAGTCAATAAACAGTGTGGGATTCGGGGAGGGAAAGAGAGCGAGCTAAAGGGATGACTTCCAAGTCCCGCTCCCTGGTTCCTCCCCGCCCGGCCGCCAGGGTGCCCGCAACTACACGCATGCGCTGCATGACGCGCTCCCCACACGCATGGCGCGCCCTCCTGCGCTCCGGGAACGCACGGGCACGGGGCGGGGGGCGGGGCGATCGGGGAGGGATGAATGGCGGGGGTCCTCCTGAGCTCAGCGGCTCCCCTTCCCCAACACACACAGCAATAAGTTTCACTCACTCAAATGTGGGCGGGGCGGGCCTGGCCTGTCATTGTGGAGGTAGGGGGGTGGCAAGGGGGCGCTCTCAGGGATGGGGGCGGGTGTCCGGAGTCAGTGTGGGGAGGGGAGGTCTGCAAATCGTCCAATTCTGGTGCTAATGGCGGGTCTTCTCAGCCCACCCCCAGGGCAGGGAGGGAGGGGTCAGCACGGCCCCTCCCCCAAGCCTCCCCCACGCCCACCCTGGGTGCATGAACCGCCCAATGCAGAAGCTGCCGCATGTCACCCCCCCAAAGAAAAAGTGTCATGCCCCCTACCACCCACCTTCTCATTCCCCACCAAAATTAAAGTTTCCTTTTCATTTAAAAGTTGCGTCCTGTTTGTGTGCTGGGAAGGTTTCCCACTTGGGGCTGGGGACCTTTGGGGGTAGACAGAGGGGTTGGGTCTTCAAGACTAGGGGTCGGATTAAAATGGCATGGGTGTGCACTTTGGGGGCCCAGATATCCCCGTGATTACCACTCTCGCCTGATTTGGGGTGAGGGCCTGCCTACAACCCTAGCTGGAAAGTCTGAGGGCACCTGGGTGATGTGAGCTCTTGGGTGAGGGTGACTAGTCCCCAGGGGAAGAGTGGACCTGGGTCCCCCGTGTGTGCTCAGGGACTGAGGGCAACACACTCCATATTGCTGACTACGAAGCCAGTCTGCGTGGGTTCAACTTCTTTGGAGCTGTGTGTCCTTGTGCAAGTCTCTCAACCTCTCTGGGCTTGTTTTGACACTGAAAGGCCAGGACGGGTGACCTACCCATTCAGCAAACATGTGAAAGCTAAGGGGCCAGGCACTGTCCTAGGTTCTGGAAAGCAATGAGATTCCTGCCTCTAGTGCTTGTGCTGAGAATTGAGACAAACGTCCTGTGTTCAGCACAGCTAAATAAACGTTCACAGACTCGATAAAGTCACTCCTGTCGTTGTTTTGCAAAGACTGGAAGGTCAGCCAGAGGCCAGAGTACAGCAAGTACCCCTTCTGCCACTCACTGACTAGGTTGAGAGTGAGGGACATCGCAGCTCTGAGCCTCTGCCTCCTCATCTGTATAATGGAGGCAGTACTGTGGAGGGAGGCTGGGGTGAGGGGAAAGATCCAGTATTCAGGAGGTTCCCACACACACTGGCCAGCTGTGATAAGAACCAGTCGACTGCCCCACCCGCAGCCCCAGCAGGAAGGCGTCAGTGCCCATCTGAACCCATCAGACTCCCGTGCAGGAACACACGCCACCCCAGTGGGGTCCAGTCAGGGCTGACATTTATTTCTGCCAGAGCTGTAGGCTGGGAAGTCAGAGAGACTCCTCCAGCCCGCAAGGGGACTCTAACCGAACTGTGATCACACAATAGCAACCAGAAGGGAGGGCAGAGCATGGGAAGAGGGGGACAAGGGGCTCTCTTATCCTGCCCCTCTGCAAGAGTCAAAGGCTGCTGGAGTCCTGGGAGGCGGAGAGGGATGAGGAAGAGGGCCCTGGGCAGCCCTGGCTGAGGACCGCAGGGAAGCCATGCTCCCTTCCTAATAAAGACCATTAACAACTGAAGGAAGGATGGGAGCTGGATGGGACCACAGCGTGCCAACTACACTCAATTCCCACTCCAGTGAGAGAGCCCCGGTCCTTGCCTCCCTGCTCCTGGGCTCAACTCCTCAGTGTTCCTTCACGGAGGTGTCGGGGGACCCTCTGGGGTGGGGTTGATAAGTGCTGTGGTGCCAGCAGGTGGTGCCATTTCCAAAGTGCAAGAAGCCACAGGGTGGGTTCATGGGACCAGCACCCACCAGGGCCAGGGAGGGAGGGGCTGATGGCTGGAAGCAAAACGGGGTCACTGCGGCTGCGCCTCAGAGGGCCCATCAGGCTCTTGGGGCTGCTGTGGTCCAGACCCAGGCTCAGCCTCCTCAGCCTCCTCGTCTGATGCCACGCCCTCCTCCAGTCGGAAGACCTGGCGCACAGTACGTGTGGTGAAGGTGAGGGGACCGCGTCTGTGGGAAAGAGGAGAGACCAGAAGACAGAATAAATGAAGGGAACAGAGAGAAAAATGAGAGCTACGGAGATATGGAGAGAGCTAATAAAATCAGAGTGGAGAGACGAGACAGGAAGAAATGAAGAGAGATGGGCAGAGGGCAAGGGTGATGGCAGGGGCGGGGGACAGAGGGACAGAGACAGATGAGGGCAGGGACAGAAAAGATTCAGGACAGAGGAACAAAGAGAGATGGGAGACAGTGAAGAGGGGACAGGGGTGTATGGAATGAGGATGTGCATGTGCACAGCAACCATACCGGAGCCGGTTCCTCAACGTGGTCACTTCACGGTTCATGGACTCAGCAGACTCTGTGACATCCTCCAGCTCACGCTGCAGCCTTCGACGACCTGCCTGAGCCCTGGACGCCTCTTCCTCAGCCTCCTCCAGCTGCCGCTTCAGCTGCTTCACTCGAAGGTTCCCCTTCTCCAGCTTGGTAGGAGCAGAGAGGCCAAGTCATGTCTCTAGGTGTCGTCCTCACCCGTCATTTTTTTTTTTTTGGTACGTGCTCCTAGTGGGAACTGAACCTGGGACTCTCTAGTCGGCAGGCCGATGCTCCAACTGCTGAGCCAAACTGGCTGGGGCCTCACTTGTCATTCTTATCACTCAATCTGCCCCACTACGCAATTCTTCTCTCTAGCCATACTGGGAATCTGTTTGCTCCAAACTCACCAAGCTTATTTCCATACCCCAGGGCCTTTGCACCTGGTGTTCCCTCTGCCTGGCTCTACCTCACCCTTCAGGTCTCATTTCAGATGTCATTCCTAAGAGAGGATTCCCCAATCCTCTGTGTCTCCCTTGCTCTTCATCCCCCCACCCTGCATCCTTTTTTTTCATAGATTGTATCACAGTCTGTAATTATCTTTCCTTGTTCATTGGTTTCTTGTGTCTTTCTTTTCATATGCTGAAAATGTGAGCTCCATGAGGGCAGGAACCTCCTCTGTCTCATTAACAGTCATATCTCCAATGCCTAACACAGTGTCCAGCACATAGTGGGTACTCAATAATTGTTTGTGGAATGAATGGTGAAACAGCTGAGCTTTTAAGGGCACAGTGATGCTATCTAGTGTCAGACAGACCTGAAATCCCATTCAGGGTCTGTCTCTACTAACGATGACTTTGGTGCAAATTATATCCCTTTAAAGTTTCTTTCCTCACTGGGGAAATCGGGCTGGTGAGAGAATGCAAGCATGTATTTTTTTAAAAGGTAGCACAGAGATTGGGACTCAGTAACTACTCAATAATTAACAGCATAGACTCTGTAGCCAGAGTGCTGGGGGTTTGAACCATGGCTCAATCTCTTTCCAGCTAAATAATTGTGAGCAAGTTACTTCAACTTTCTGTGCCTCAGTTTTCTCACCTGAATATGAGGGGAAAATAACAGTACCCTATCACAGTGTTCTGATAAGAAATAAATGTACTGCCCGCTATGTGTTCAGCAGAGTGCCTGACACATCAAAAGCACTCAATAAACACTGTGTGCTATTATTTTAGCCCTAGCCGGCCTTTCCTTGGCTATTTTAGCTCCCAGAAAGCTCAGCTTTCCTAGATTCCAGAATTTATGGAACACAAAGTCACTGATTCCAGCTCTCTGCGATGGCACTACGCCACAGGATGGCTCAATTCCAGGCCGGCACCCACATGTTGCCCCTTGCGATAGGAACTCCGGGCCTTCAGAAAGGGCACGTGCTATTTCTCTGACAGTGGTCTCACCCCCTTCACTGCTCCCTAGTGACGTCGGCTGCTCACCTGGTCCCTGAGCTGGTCCGCAACCCTCCGCTCCTCCTCCACCTGGAGCACCACTTCTTTAAGCCGCTTCTCGGCTCTGCGCACCAGCTTGCCGGAAAGGATGCGCTCCCTAGAGAGAGGCATGAAGGGGAGAGGCAGCAGAGGCGTGCCTTGGCGTTCTGTTCCCTGACCTCATACAGTGGCTGCCGTCCTGTTCTGGAACTGGCCTCTTCCTTCTTTCTCACCCACAACTGACTCCCACATTTCATTCAGACATTGGCACCCAGGTTCCCCACTTGCTTCTACTTGGCTTCTACTATGATGCCATGGCTGATGTTCTTTTTTTTTTTTAATTTGTTTTTATTGATTTCACAGAGAGAAAGAGAAGGTGAGAGAGAGAGAAATATTGAAGAGAAAGAAACATCCACAGGCGGCCTCCTGCACACCCCCTACTGAGGATCAAGCCAGCAACCTGGGCATGCACCCTGACTGGGAATTGAACCCGCAGCCTCCTGGTGCATGGCACAATGCTCAAACCCTGAGCCACAGCAGCCAGGCTGTTGTTTTTTTAACGGGCAAAAGACTTAAATAGGCATTTATTTCACAAAAAAGGATATCCAAAATGCCAGTAAGCAAACGAAAATGTATTCAATCTTATTATACATGTTGTAAATGCTCATTTTTAACTGAATTTATTGGGGTGACATTGGTTAATAAAATTATATAGGTTTTGCCCAGCTGATGTGGCTCAGTGGTTCAGCATCAACCCATGCACCAAGAGGTCGCTGGTTCAATTCTCAGTCAGGGCACATGCCTGGGTTGCAGGCTTGATCCCCAGCTGAGGGCGTGCAGGAGGCAGCCAATCGATGTTTCTCTCTTGTCAATGTTTCTATTTCTCTCTCCCTCTCCCTTCTTCTCTCTCTAAAATCAATAAAAACATACTTTAAAAAATTATATAGGTTTCAAGGGAAACGGTTGGTTTTTTCTGTTTCTTTTTTGTTTGGTACGTGCCCCTAGCAGGAACGAAACCCGGGATTCTGTGGTCTGCAGGCCAACGCTCCAATCGCTGAGCCAAACCAGCCAGGGCAAATGGCTGTTGTTTTAAGCCACTAAGTCTTAGGATGCTTTGTTATGCAGCTATAGCTAACTGCTACATTCACTGTTTAAATCCTACTTGTAGTGGAAGTGCAGGTACCTGCAGCCCAAAGCATCTTAAACAAGATAGGAAATCAGCAACCATTGTATTACAATGCCTTTGCGATGTTTCTAAGCCAGGTGTTTGTAATACACCTCCCTTCATCTCACTGAGGGGAATGTGGGGGTCTCTGTCCAGCCACGGCCCCCTCTCCCACCTACCTGCTTTCCTGCTCCAGCTGCTCCTCAGCCTGGGCCAACTTTGACTCAAGGGCAGCGATGGTCATCTTCTGACGGGCCCGCGCCCCAGCGTCCTCCTCACCCAGGCGGCCCCGGAGCTCCTGGATCTGCCGCTCCAGCTGCTGCCGCCCACTCTCTGCCTTGGCTGAGAAACTACGCTCAGCGGACAACTCTGTGGTCAGTGATTCCACCTGCAGCAGTGGGAGAGGCAGGATATCATGGTGGAGTCTCAGAGGGAAGGTGGCAGGCAAATCCAGGCACCTGCTACATTGAGTGGATGATTGTTAGGTGCATAGCACGAAGCCTGATATGCACTAAAACGCAACAATGTGCCCTAGCCAGTGTGCCTAGTGGTTAGAGCATCGGCCCAGGCACTGAAGGGTCACAGGTTTGATTCCTGGTCAACGGTATGTACCTGGGTTGCAGGTTCAATCCCTGACCTGGTCAGGTGCATGTGGGAGGCAACCAATCAATGTGCCTCTCTCACATCGATGTTTCTCTCTCTCTCTCTCTCTCTCTCTCCCTTCCTCCCTCCTCACTTTCATCCTCTAAAAATCAATGGAAAAAGTATCCTCGGGTGAGGATCAACAACAACGACAACAAAAAACCCTCAACACATGTGAACATGTATTTTTCTAGATCGACACATTAGCCAGCAGCAGTACCAGCCCTGGGTTTTAACCTTTTGGATAGATTTTTGCTTTTCTTTTTTTTGTTTAAATACATGGAGTTTGTTTGTTTGTTTGTTTGTTTGTTTGTTTGTTTTTTAAATGTTTTTATTGATTTTTAGAGCAAGAAGAAGGGAGAGAAAGATAGAAACATTAATGTGAGGGAGAAACATCGATCGGCTGCCTCCTGCACGTCCCCAACTTGGGATCAAGCCTGCAACCCGGGCCTGGCCCCAACTGAGAATCGAACCAGGACCTCTCTGTCCATGGAACAATGCTCAATCCATTGAGCCACACCAGCCGGGCTTTTTTTCTTTTCTTTTTTTTTTTTTTAAACATTTTTAGTTATTGATTTTAGAGAGAGAAAGGAAGGGAGAGAAAAAGAAACACTGATTTGTTGTTCCACTTATTTATGCGTTCGCTGGTTGTTTCTTGTATGTGCCCTGACGGGGCCATAACCTTGGCGTATCAGGACAACGCTCTAACCAACTAAGCTACCCAGCCAGGGCAGGTTTTTGCTGTTTTAATAAGTCCACAAGACTATCACAAACTTGTTTAAATGCTAAAAATTCTACCTCTGATTGTGAATAAGTCTATTCCAAGGGTTGATCACACTTTTTTTTTGCAACAGGATCACCAGGGAAACTTGTGAGAAAAAAAAAATGTAGGCTGCATGGTCCCACCTGACAGAGATTCTCATACAGCAGGTCTGGAGTGGGGTCAGTGAATACACGTTTTTGTAAAAATGGGAAGTGATTACTTTTTTTTTTTTTAATCCTCACCCGAGGATATTTTTCTATTTATCTTCAGATAGAGTGGGAAGGAGTGGGAAGGAGAGAGAGGGAGAGAAAGGGAGAGAGAGAGAAACATCAACATGAGAGGGACACATTGACTGGTTGCTTCCCACATGACCCCCAACTAGGGCCGGGATGAACCGCACTTGAGGTATATGCCCTGGGCTGGAATCGAACCTGAGCTTATTGGTCCACAGGCTGACGTTCTACTGCTGAGCCAAACCGGCCAGGGCATGGAAGTGACTACTTTTTAAAAAAAGCTTATATGGCCCTGGCCGGTTTGGCTCAGCGGTTAGAGCATCGGCCTGCGGTCCAGAGAGACCCGGGTTCGGTTCCCGCTAAGGGCATATACTTCGGTTGCAGTTTGTCCCCGGCCCTGGTTGGTCGTGCGGGTGGCAGCCACTTGATGTGTCCCTTCACATCGATGTTTCTGTCTCTCTCTCCCTTCCTCTCTCTCCCTCCCACTCTATCTGTACAAAAAATGGAAAAATATCCTCGGGTGAGGATTAAAAAAAAATAAAGTAAAAAAAGCTTATATGTTTCTATTGATTTTAGAGAGAGAGGAAGGGAAAGAGAGAAACATCGATGTGAAAGAGAAACATTAATCCCTGCACGCCCCCCACCAGGGATCGAACTCAGCCAATGTCCTTTCTTCCAAATTCCAACTGCCTTCTTGTGACTGTTGCAGAGACCAACTCCCCATCTCTTCTCTTTCTCTCTCCCCCCTGGGCCCAGTATGCTTCATTGCACACATGCCACCCTATAGTGTGACAGTGTAATTCCACATCTGTTTCCCTAGGGAAATCGGCAGGACGGAGACCCCACATAGCTCATCTCTGGATTCAGCCCTTGAGAAGCCTCATAAATACAAGTGAAGACATCAATACCCTCCCCCACTGGAGAACTCCTATTCAACCTTCAAAACCCAACTCAAATGTTCCCTTTTCCTCTATCTGTTGAATGAGAGGACTGAGGGTCATGGTTCCAGGGTGGTGGGGACCCGGGCTGGCAGGGGGACGGGGCAGTGCCCACCTGCAGGAGCAGCTTGCGGTAGCGGTCATTGAGCAGCTCGGCATTGCTCTGCTCCTCCTCCAGCTCCTCCTCCATTTGCCCCAGGCGCCCCTCCAGCTGACGCTTCTCTTCCAGAATGGCTGCCCTAGGGGCATGAGACCACGGCAGGGTGAGCGGGCAGGATGGCCAGAGGGGACACCCTGCCCCCCATCACCACAGGCCACTCACTTGCTAAGGCTGCCGTTGGCCACCTCATCTGCCATCTCATCCCGCTCCTGCTGGGCCTGCCGCCGGGCTCGGTCTGAGGCGGCCAGTTCCTGTGATGACAGAGAGGGAGGGTTGGTCAGTGGGGGTGAAGAGAGGCCATCTGGGCACCACCTCGCCGCCTCTCACACCTCACGGCTCTTGGCCTTTATTTCATTGCACACGAACACGCTGTCCCTGGAGGACTTTGGCACGCGTCCGGAGCCCCTGAGCCCTGTCCACCTCTTGCTGTCCATCCCCAGGCCTCTCGCCTTCATCTCCTCCTCACTGAGCTCAAGCACCTCCTTTCAAACCTGCTTCCCCTCCAGGTTCCCCCAGTCACCAGGCCAGACCCCCCAGGTCTCTCCTCATCTGTACCCCCTCACCACCCACCACCATGCCCATCCCGCCCCTTTGCTCTCTGCCCTGTTCCTTCCACTGTGTCCCCTGAGCCAGGACTCAGGGCTCATCCTCTCTCCCCAGCCTCCCGCACGCCTGTCCATGACCCCAGAGCAGAAGCCCCCCTCAGGACCCTCCCTGGGCTCCCTAATGCTCCCGGGCCCCCAGTGTATTTGGTTGTTCCCCAGCTTGCCAACTGCCCACGCCAGGGCTTCGCCCCCCCTCATCCCCACTTCCCACCCTCAGGCCCCAACCATCCTGGCTTCACCTCTTGCAGCCGCAGCACCTCCGCCTCCAGCCCTTTAAGGCGCTTGTCGCTCTCCCGGTTCTGGGCGAAGATCTCCTCGCGGGAGTTGCGCGACTCCTCCACCTCCCGCCACAGCTCCTTCATCTGGGCCTGGGCAGAACGAAGTGGTCGGGCTCAGCCTGGTCCTGACTCACTGGAGTCCCCTACCCTCAGAGCAGTCCTGTAGGAGTTCCTGGGCTCCCCCGCCCCCACCCCTAGGCTCGCTGTGTGACCTTGAGCCAGCCCCTTCCCCTCTCTGGGCCTCAGCTGCCTCCTCTTTTAAAAAAAAGCACCTTAGCCCTGGCCGGTTTGGCTCAGTGGTTAGAGCGTCGGCCCACGGACCGGAGAGTTCTGGGTTCGGTTCCCGCTAAGGGCATGTACCACGGTTGCAGTTTGTCCCCGGCCCCAATTGGGGTCGTGTGGGTGGCAGCCAGTCGATGTGTTTCTCTCACATTGATGTTTCTCTCTCTCTCTTCCTTCCTCTATCCCTCCTGCTCTATCTGACAATAAATGCAAAAAATGTCCTCAGGTGACGATTAAAAAGAAAAAAGTATATATAAAAAAAAAAGCACCTAAAAAAAGCACCTTAAAGTTAAAGTAAACCTAAAATGGGTATAATATTTGGACTCTTCAATAATAATGATGAAGGCAAATACTCTGATATGTACGTTGGGTGGCCAGGGCCTATTATACACACATACTGACCCCCTTACTCCTCACAACTCTGGTTGAGGGGGGAACTGTCTCCCCCTGCCCCAGTTTACAGGTGGAGAAACTCAGGTTCACAGATGGCCAGGGTGGTAAGTGGCAGAGGCAGGACTCGAACCCAGGCCATCCAGTTTCGGGGCTTACACTTCCAGCTGCTTTGCTACCTGGCTATACTACTTTGAGTCTGTAAAGATGCCAGCATAAGGGTTTTCTCTTCAAAGGTGTTTAAAATAAAGGAAAATTAAACAGAAACCATTCAAAAACCCACTCTGTACTTTTACAACAGAAGAGTAATAATTATTAGTAACTATAGTGGGGACAGCGGCGGGCTTGAGTAGTAGGACAATCGTCACTGTTATTAAGACTATTGGCATCGCCCTGGCCAGTTTGGTTCAGCGGTTAGAGCGTCGGCCTGAGGTCCAGAGAGACCCGGGTTTGGTTCCCACTAAGGGTGCGTGCCTCGGTTGCAGTTTGTCCCCGGCCCTGTTTGGTCATAAAGGTGGCAGCCACTCGATGTGTCCCTTTCACATCGATGTTTCTCTCTCTCTCCCCCTCCCACTCTACCTGGGCAAAAAAATGAAAAAATGTACACGGGCGAGGATTAAAAAAAAAAAAAAAAGATTTAGCTCTTTAGAGCAGTATTGGGTTCGCAGCAATATTGGGCAAAAGGTATAGAGGTTTTCCACACACTCCCTGCCCCCCAGGCACAGGCTCCCCCATCATCAGTACCCCCTCCCCAGAGCGGGACATTTGTTACAATTGATGGACCTAACTTGATACATCATTATCCAAAACAAATTTTTTCTAAACAACCAAATATAACTTTTATAATGGGGGGGCAACCCTAAGGTATTTCCACTTCAAAAATTAAATAAAATGGGGGAACTAGACTTAAAAATTAAGCATTTTAAATAAAGGCAATAAAAATATTTTTAAAAACAAGTGAGCCTTTGGGTCATGGGTGTTTTTATTTATTTTTTATTTTTTCAGTTTTTGGGAGAGTCATGGGTGTTCTTTTTCTTTCTTTCTTTCTATTCTTTTATGGGTGTTCTTAAAGGCATGACTAATCTGGGTGCTGTCGGATAGAGTGGAGGGGGCGGGGTCCATGGTGGGGCCACCCACCCCTGGGCTTCAGCCCCGCCCCCGGTCGGTTTAAGCCCTGCCCCTTACCTGCATCTTGCGAAGTTGCTTCACGGCCTCCTCCTTGCCCTGCCCGGCGGCGGAGGTCTGGGCCTTCAATTCCTCCAGCTCCGCCTCCAGCTTCTTGCGGGCAGCCACCGCCAGGGCGCGCTGCTTGCGCTCCTCGTCCCGCTCCACCTCCGCATCCCGCAACTGGGGGCAGGGGTGGCGGAAGGGGTGAGCTCCGGGCACGCAAGGCCCAGGCTTTCTCTACAGCCAGTGACATAGATGTCCGCCCTCCAGCCCCAGCACAGGCCTGCAGCCCCGTTGTTCCTCCCGCCCCTGCCTCTCCCATCCAGGCCCTCCTCCCTGCTCCCATCTCCCGGTCCAGCCCATCCCAGCAGAGCTGCAGAAGAGCCTCTCTATACTCAGAGTTGACCCTGCCCCTTCCTTGCTCATGTCCCTCCTGTGGCTCCCCAGTGCCCTGGAGTCAAGTCTTGGGCCTTTACCCACGGCTGGATCAGGGGAGATAAAAAAAAAAACCAGAAACCCCCAGCCTGGGTCGCAAGTTCCATTTCTCCTTCCAGGCCTCCCAGCTCCAGTCTACTGCCCATGGGACCCCAGAGTGTCTTTCTGACACTCAGAGCTGGCCCTCCCCTCCCAAGCTCGGTACCCATCACCTGGCAGAGGGCTTTGTTCTCTGCAGACCACAGGAATTAAGAACAATGGAAGAACGGTGCAGAGAGGGTGCGTGATGGGACAGAGGGGGAAGCCAGTGGAAGAGGGAGCGAACGAGGGGGTGAGGCTGCGGATGAAGGTGGTGTGGACAAGCTGGCCAGTGAGCACGGATGAGAGCCTGGGGAGGCTGGGGGTGCTGCCAGCTGGGGTTACGGTGAGGAATGGGTTGGGGAAGAGGAGGCTGGTGAGCTAGCAGATGGGACTTGGGTAGAAACACTAGGGAGCAGGTGGGTGGGTGAGACTTCCGGCCTTCTTGCTGCCTGTAAGCCTGAAGGCACAGCCAGCTGGACAGACGCCCTGCAGCCTCCCGCTTGGTACCTGCTTGGCCAGCTGCCGCCGCCTCTCTTCACCAGCCTCATCTCGGCCCTGCAGGTCTCGCTCGTGCTGGGCCTTGAGAGCCTGCACGGTCACTTCCAGGCGCAGCTTGGCATCCTCGGCTGCCGTCAGCTCGTCCTCCAGCTCTGTCACCTGCGTTCGCAGGTCACCGGCTGCCTGTTCCGCTGCCCGGCGGGCTCGCTCCAGCTCGTGTACCTGGTGGGGAGGGAGAGTGAGCACTGGGCACCGGGGTCACTAGGGAAGGGGCAGGCCAGGGTCCTGGATCGATCCCAGGAGAGAGTGAGGGGACCCCACGTCTATGTGCCCATCCTAGTTCGTTCATCCATTCACTCGTTCAACACTTCCTGGGCACTTACTATGTGTCATTCTGAATCATTCAAAAATATTTTATATGAACCTAAGCATGAGCCCAGCTGGTATGGCTCAGGTGGTTGAGCACAGGCCCATGCACCAGGAGTTTACTGGTTGGATTCCGAGCCAGGGCACATACAGGGGTTTCGGACTTGATCCCCAATGGGGGACATGCAGGAGGCAGCCAATTGATGTTTCTCTCTCTCTGTCTTTTAGTGCAACACCCGCCTCCCACACTGGGCTGTGGTTCTACAGGGCAGGGACTACGTCTGCCTGCGACCACTGCTCAACAACCCCCATGTTTCGGAATGCTGGTCAGTGACAGTGTCTACTTTTAGCCCTTGGAAGGGGCCACTGGTCTCCCCTCCTGTTGGCACCTGCCAATCACATTTGTTTAGTTGAAGGAATCAAACTCTGTCCTATGGATATCCTATTTCCCAAAAGAGGTCTCACTAAAAATAACTTGACAATTTTCCCAAAGGAGAGGCCTGGGTTGTTGGAGAATGACTTGGATTTTGGCTCCAGTATCCCTGGGGGTGCAGGTAAAAGGTATATTTCAAGTTTAGGGGTTCTCTCCAGGCCTGGCTAAAAGCTCCATCACATCGACACCAAAGCCCAGGGACTCTACTAAACACGGGTTCCGTCAGTGCCTCTGTCATCAGTAGGGTGGCCTCTGTCCCTGGGCCCCACGGATATATTTATTGACTGAAAGAAGGGAGAATGAAGTGGAGGGTGGACTTTTCAGAGGCTGGGGCACTGGCTGGGTGTGGGGGCCTGGGAACAGCCTGGGCATTCCTCACAGGCCCTGAAGGGATGTATGAGTCGGGGGAAGACTAGCGGCCTGGTGGGGAAGGCCTGCGTGGGTGTGAGTGATGAGGTGGGGTCTCCTCACACTGGGTGTGTGTGTGCACATACTTATGTTTGGGGAGTGGTTCTCAGTCTGTATGTGGTGGTAAATTCTCTTCATGTTTTCTGTCTGAGTATTCACACATGTGTGTGATGAGTGATTTTCATGCTCTATGTGTACACGTGAACATGTGTGTTCAGTGGAAGAGTCTCCTCAGATTCCACGGACACACTCATGAACATGTATGCTTTGTGAGCAGCTCTCGTGTTCAACGGAAGATTCTCCTCATGTGTATGTGAACACGTGTGTTTGGTCAGCGGCTCTGCTCCTGTTCTGTGTTTATGCATGAACACGTGGCTTGGATGACCAGGTCTCTTCATGTTCTGCATGTGACAGCACACATATGTGCATGTGGTTGTCATGTGGGTGTCTCCGGGAGAGGGGGCCCTGCTTACGCTCTTGCCGACGTCATCCTTGCTGCTCAGCAGTGCCTCCAGCTCCGCCCGTAGGGCCCGGTTCTGCCGCTCCAGCTCCTCACGCGCTTCCTGCTCCTCCTCCAGTGCCCGGGTCAGTGACAGAGCCCGAGCCTCACGCTCCCGGCCCTCAGCCTCGACCCTCTCACGCTCCTCCACTGCCCGCAGCACAGCTGCCTTCTCTTCTGCCAGGAGCTTCCGGGTTGAGGGACATGGGATAGGGGAAATAGATTAGCTGAAAGGCATGCACAAGGGGATGGGGAAGAGGGAGCAGCCAGGAAGAGAGAGAGAGAGAGGCAGACACACGAGAGGGAAGTAGAGGGATTAAAGTCGCAACCATGTCCCAAACCAGCTCAGCTCTTGAATGGATCAAACTCATCAGCCTCTCACTCTAGATATTAAACAGAGGAAAGGGTGTTTCTTCCTCTTGGGGAAGTGGTTGGAAAAAACATATACCTATATATTAAAAATGTACTTCAACCTTTACTGTCTTTTTAAGACACAGTAATTGAAAACAATAACACAGTACAGGCAAAGAAAGGAAGAGAGTGAGATTCAGTCAAGAGAAAAACCAGTCTGTGAAAACAGATCCACAGATGACCTAGATATTATCACACAAGGACTATGATAAGTAAGTTTCAGGACAAGATAGATACAATGGGTGAAGAGACAGGGTTATTTCAGGAGGGATTAGAAATGGTAAAACAAAACCAGAACTAAAAAATATGATTTCTGAACTCAAAAAGTCACTGGAAGAATTGAGGGAAGATTAGGCACAGAAGAATTAGTACACTTGAAACAGAAATGATCTAAATAGAGTGAAGAAATTATCTAAATAAAGTGAAGAAAGAAAAAAAAACTGTAAAAATGTTAACAGAACTTTAATAACCCATGAGACAGCATCAGACAGTCAAACATACATGTGTTTGGAGTCCCAGAGGAACTGGAAGAAAACTCAATGGGATCTATTAAAAAATCTACCAGCACTAATAAGTGAGTTTAGCCAAGTAGAAAACAATATCACTATACCCTAGCAGTCAGAAATTGAAACAAAAATACCATTTAAAATAGCATCAAAAAAATAAAATGGATAGAAATAAATCTGACAAAATATGTGAAAAATATACACTGAAGACTACAGAACATTCTTGAGCTAAATTAAAGAAGATCTAAACAAATGGACCATGTTCCTGGGCCAGAAAACTCAATATTATTAAGATGTCGATTTTTCCCAATGACCCATACAGTCAATGTAATCTGAAATCAGGAAGATTTTTGTGGTGTAGGAATTGACAAACTGATTCTAAAATACATATGGGAATGCAAAGGACATAGAAGAGGCAAAACAACTTCAAAAAGGAAGAAAAAATTAGAGAACTAACACCACCTGATTTTCAATATATATTCAAAAGTAAGTTAGTAGAGCCTTTTCAACACTTAGTGTTCAAACAACTGTATATCCATACACATAAAAAAATTAACTTGGAGCCATGATAGCACCATATATAAAAAGTAACTCAGAGTAGATCATAGAGCTAAATGGAAAATATAAAGCCAGAAAATTTCAAGGGAAAAAAAAACATAGGAGGAAATCTTTGTGACCTTCAATAGGGCAGAGATTTTTCCTTCAGACACAACATCAAAAATCATGACCCATAAAATTACAAATTAATAAATTGGACTTCATCAAAATTAAAAATGTCTGCTCTTTGAAAGACTCTATTGAGAGAGTGAAAAGGCAAGCTACAGACTGGATGAAAATATTTGCAGAGCTATATATCTGATAAAGAATTTGTATTTAGAATATAAAAAGAACTTTCAAATTTTATTAAGAAACAACCCAGATGGGGGAAAAAAAAAGGCAAAAGATTTGAAGAGTCCTGACCAGTGTGACTTAGTTGATTGAGCATCATCCTGTACACCAAAACGTGGGTTTGATCCCTAGTCAGGGTACATATCTAGGTTGTGGGTTTGATCCCCAGTCAGGATGCAACCTATTGAAATTTCTCTCACATTGATCTCTCTCTCTCTCTCTCTCTCTCACACACACCTTTCCTCTCTCTCTAAAATCAACAAAAGCATACCCTGGGGTGCACATTAACAATAACAACAACAATAACAAAAAGATTTACAGAGACACTTCACCAAAGATGTATGGGTGGTTATTAGCACATGAGATGCTCAACATCATAATTCATTAGGGAAATGTGAATTAAAACCACTATAACCTATTAGAAAGACTAAGGCTTCATTTATAATAGCCCGAAACTAGGAACCCCTCAACTGTTCATCAACAGGTTAATGGATATACAAAATGTGATTTACCTATACAGGAACAAACAATACTCAGCCATATTTTTTAAAAAAGGGATGGATTGTTGTTACATGCAAAAACAGAGATGAATCTCAAAATACTGTGAGTGAAAGAAGCCCATCAAAGAAGAGATTTAGCCAGCTGGTGTGGCTCTGTGGACTGAGCGTTGTCCCATGGACTGAGAGGTCTGGGTTTGATTCCCAGGGCACATGCCCTGGTTTTGGGCTTGATCCCCAGTAGGGGGCATGCAGTAGGCAGCCTGTTGATATTTCTCTTTCACATCAATGTTTCTATATCTCTCTCTCTCTAAATAAATCAATAAAAACATTAAAAAAAGATTTATATGAAAATAATTCATATAAAATTCTAGGAGATACAAAAAATTAATAGAGTCTTGATGATCTATGAGACAGCATTAAGGACTCACACACATTTGGAGTCTGAGAAGAACGGGAAAGAAGGAATATACGGTATAAAAATATTTGAAGACATAAGGCTAAAATTTTCCACTTTTGATAAAAAACACCAACCCAGGAAGCTTGGCCAACCCAAAGCAGGATACGTACAAGACCCACAGCTGCACATATCATCAGACTGCTAAAAACCCAGGAGAAAGAGAAAAAACTTAAACCAGCTAGAAAAACACACCATATGACCCTCAGGGAAACAGTGATTTCAATGTCTGCTAATATTTCATCTGAAACAATGGGAGGCCAGAAACCATGGAATGATCTCTCCCAAGTGCTAAAAGAATAAAACCCTTTACCTAGAATTCTCTATCCAGCAAAAATACCTTTCAAAAGTGAAGGCAAAATAATGATGCCTCCATTTTCTAGATTAAAAAGACAAGGCACGCCCTGGCCGGTTTGGCTCAGCAGTTGGAGTGTCAGCCTGTGGACCAGAGAGTTCCGGGTTCGGTTCCCGCTAGGGGCACATACCAAAAAAAAAAAAAAAGACAAGGCACAGAGAGGGTGGAGCAATTTGCCCAAGTCACACAGCCAGAAAGGGACTGAGCTGGGAATCAAAACTCTGGGTTTCCTGATCTTAATGCTCTGGGGTTCTGTGATCTTTAGTTCATCCTCAGATTGCCAGATGCATAATATTATCCCCATTTCCTAGATGGGCATACTGAGGCTGAAATGGGAAAAGCAGCTTGCCTGAGGCACGCAGTGAGCCAGCAGAAGTGAGATGTGTTATTCCATTTAATCCTCGCCAGCATCCTTTGGGGCACCTTCAGGACAAGTTTGGGAGTAAAAGGGGGTGCTACCAATAGATATTCTGGGACAAGAGACATCAGCCAGGTTGGACGGGTGTCTTATTTTACAGACTCAGAGGGAAGAAGCAATCTTGTCCCAGGGTCCCCCCAAGCTCACAGTGGAGCTGTGACATTACACATTACGCATTGCCCACAAGGACCACGGGAAGCTCGGATTAGCATCCCGATGGCCCGGTTGCGTAACTGAGGTGGCTCACCTGGTCGAATTTGCGCTGCTTCTTCTCCAGCGTGCTCACGAGCTGCCGTTGTTGCTCCAGATCCATGATGGCGTCATCCAGCTCCTGCTGCAGCCGCCGGCGGCCCCTCTCCAGCCGCTCCACCACCTCCGTCTTTTCTGTCAGGCGCTGCATCAGGGCCTCAGCCTCGCGGGCTGCCCGGCGCCGAGCCTCCTCCCCTGCCTCCAGGGCCCCCGCCTCCTCCTCCTGGCGCCTCCGCCACTCTGAGAGCTGGAGGAGGAGAAACAGGTGGGTGGCAGTTATGGCTGTGACCAAGGTGTAAGCTGGTGGCACCCCGTTTCTGCAATGAGGAGACTGAGGCCTGAAGAGGGAAATGACTCACTGCCCTGGGCTCTCCTGCCTCAGAGTAGGGTTGAGGTTGTGAGTTCTAGGAGCCCCAGCTTCTCCAGGAGATTAAAACTACTCCTGCTACGACCCAGAAGGTAAAGCAGACCTGGGCTCTGGGGAACCCCCAGTGTGATGGAGAGAACTGAGTGTCACAGCCAAGGTGGTGGAGACTAAGGAAGAGGTATGGGAGCCATGGGAGTCGTCAGGAAGGTTTCGGGATCTGTTTAGAACATTTAAGGGAGACTTCCTGGAGGAGGGAGCATTTGAGATGGATCTTAAAGTATGCATAGGAGTTTGCCAGTTGAAGAAGGATATTTGCAGGCATGCATTCAATACTCATTCATTCAACAGACATTTCTCAAGGCCTCCTATAATACAGGCTCTAGGTTGGCCTATGTTGGGGACCAGATCTAAATCAAAATCCCACTTAAAGGAGCTCCCCATTTGGTGGGGGGACTCATGGGCAGAGAGTGTTCCAGCCCAGGATGATTGGAGTGGGGACGGGGGAGAAAGAAGGCTTGTGGGCGCTCAGAGGGAGGTGGCCAGGGACTTCCCACAATAGGGGGTGCTGATGCTGAGACCTGAAGAATGAAAAGGGTTTCCCAGGTGAAGGGGAAAAGGAGAGATGAGAGATGAGTACAGGTCAGGACGAAGGAAGGACCAGAGAATGCAGGGCCTCCGACACCCAGCTGAGAGGCACACGCTTTGTCCAGGGGGAGCTGGGGAGCCATAGGAGGGCTGTGAGCAAGGCAAGGGCAGGGTCAGCTCTGGGAGTAGAAAGACCATGTGGAGAATGAGCCTGAAGAGGAGAGACTGGAGGCAGGGAGGCTTGAAGGGAGGCTGAGTTGAGGATCCAGGTGGCAGAGGGTGAGGCCTGAGCAGAGCTGGGGCTGTGTGGACGGACAGCAGGGGAAAGACAGACAGTCAGGACTCTGCACTGACAGGCCATGGGGGATGAATGACAATCAGAGGTGAGATTGGCACCCAGAAGTCTGGGCTATGACTGGTTGGGCCATGGTGCTGTCTCAGCCAGGGAACCAGGAGGAGCAGGTTGAGAAGCTAAGTGTCCCCGAGAGGTCTCCCTCCAGGACTGCTCACCTGGACCTGGGCAGTCTGTAGCTCACGGCCCGCCCGCTCCCTGGCGGCCGCCTCCTCCTCCAGCTGCTCCCGCAGCCCTGCCACCTCGGCCTCCAAGGCTCGAACCCGGGACCCCAAGGCCAACTTCGTCCTGGTCTCCTCTTGCAGTAGCTCCTGTCGATGGAGGGTAGAATGGATGTCAGGTGTGGGCAGAACGGTGAGAGGGGCTGAGTGCTGATGGGGGGTCAGGGGGGCTGCAGTCACCTGGGCGTCATGCAGCTGGGCCTCTGTGCTGCTCAGCTCCTTGCTCAGCCTGATGGCTCTGGACTCGGCCTCACTCAGTGCCCCAGACACGTTCTCGAGTTCAACCTGTGAGAAAGGGGCACCTTCCAATGGTGGCTTCCGCTCAGCCAACCCCAGCTGCTCCTCCACCTGCAGTCCCTACCACACAGCTGGTGGGAATGTAAATGGTACAGCCACTGGGGGAAAGTCTGGCAGCTCCTCAAACGGTTAAACATAGTTTCCATATTGCCTAGCAATTCCGCTCCTAGGTGTATACCCAAGAGAAATGAAAACATGTGTCCATGCAAAACATGTACAGAGACGTTCCCAGCAGCATTATGCACAATAGCGAAAGGTAGAAACAACCCAAATGCCCATGACCTGATGGACGGATACCCAGAATGTGCCCAGGAGCTATTCTAAGCACTTTATAACTTTTGGCTCACTGGATTCACACACCAACCCTATGAGGTAGGTGCCGTTATTATTCCCAGTTTACATAAAGGAACGCTGAGGCACAGAGAGGTTAGGAAATATGCCTAGGAGCACACAGCTACAAGTGGTGGAACTGAGATTTGAGCCCAGGCAGCATGGCCCTGGAGCTGTGCTGTCCAAGGTGGTAGCTACTAGCCATATGCGGCCACTTAAACTAAAATTAAATAAAAGTAAAGTTCCAGGTTCTCGGTCGTACTTGCCACATTTCACCTGCTCACTGGCCAAGTGGTTAACACAAATACAGAAAATTTCCAACAGTGAAGAAACTTCTGGATGGTACTGCTTAGAACTTCTGCTATCATCGACCTTGGGTGCCACTTTTCTTTTTGTGACATGCAAAGTGCTTAGTACAGTAGTGACTGTATAGCATGGTTCCATTGGGAGCAGACCTGAGTGATCCCCCAAATTCATTCTCCCTTAGTCCCTTTGGGACTGGTTATTAACTAGGCCCATGGCTGCTAGCTAGAAACTACATTTCCCAGCCATCCTTGCAGTGAGCTGTGGTCATGTGATTATGGTATGGCCAATGGAATGCAAGCAAAGTGATATATGCAAATTATGTCCCTTCCTCAGCTGAAGCACAGATGTCCCCACAACCCAGATTCCACTCTGAAAATGAGGTCAGCACCCTTGGGGACGGTGGGACAACAAGATTAAGGAAGCTGGCTCTTGAGTGACCTCATGGAGCATAGTGTCCTGCCAGCCTCAAATGCTTACCTTGAGCCAGTTTCTTGAGAGGGAAAGACACTTGTATTTTATTTAAGCAGATGGACTCTGGAGTCTCTGTTATAGTAGCTTAACCTTTACTCTTATGAATACATACTTTTCACCTGGGAATTAAAAACTGGATTGGTGTTTTCCCCTGGAGGGGTTGGAGAAGTAAAGTTATTCCTCTATTCTTTTTGCTATTTGTATTCTCAATAATGAACAGGTATTGGTCACCTCGCAGTCACAGAATGATATTGTCCTTACATGGTTCCAGGTATTCACTCTGGGTTTTTCTAACCAGACCACAGATAATTTAAGGCCAAAAGAGAAGAGTGGAGGGCGGGGGCTGTGGCAGGTTAAGAGCTACAGGGTCAGGAAGGTCTGGGTTCGAGTTTTGGCTCCAAGTGACCTCACGTCCCTGGGCTTCCGTTTCCTCGTGTGTAAAGTGGGAACATGTGTAAAGTTTGCTCATGTGTAAAGTATTAGCACTGCCATCAAAGGGGAGCCAGGAGGATTCAGGGAAATACATAGGATGTTTGGTATACAGTGGCCACTCTGCAAATACTAGCTATCCATGCGTGGTTATGTTGGAAAAGTTGGGACAGAAAACAGGGTTGACATGGACCAACCAGAAGCTCAGAGAGAGCAGGTGTCTCATTCAAGGTCACACAGCAGAGACCACTCCTGCCCCACTCACCTGGGCTCGCTGCAGCTTCTCAGCAGCCTCCGCTCGTGCCCGCTCCCCATCACCAGCCCGGCCCTGCACCTCCTGCAGCTGTGACTCCAGGCGGCGCCTTCGTTGCTCACCCTCCTGACGTGTGGTCTGCAGGTTACTCAGCTCTGCCCGCAGCTCAGACACCTCAGTCTCCAGAGCCAACCGGGTCTTCTCCCACACGCCTTTACCCTGGCAGGAGAGGAACAAGCAAAGGTTTATAATTCCCCCCACCAACCAGGCCAGGCACAGTCCTGCCTCAGGGCCTTTGCACTGGCTATTCCCTCTGGAAGTCCTCACTGTTCCTTCAACACCCAGGCACATTTCTGCCTCAGGGCCTTTGCACTGGCTATTCCCTCTGCCTGGAACTCACTTCCCCCTGATGCCAGGACGGTTCAACCCTCACCTTCATCAGTTTTTAAGCTCAGATGTCATCTTCTCACACAATCCTTCCGTGGTTCTATTTAAAATCACAACCCCCCCCCCCCACTTGGCCCCTGATCCCCTTTTCTTGTTCATCATTTTCTCATAGCACTTATTACTCCAATATCTCTTATGAATGTGTTTATATTGTCTACTCTCTGCCTCTCCTGCCAAAACAACTCTACAGGGAAGAGATCGCTGTTTGTTTTGTTCACTGCTGGGTTCCTAGTACCATCCCTGGAACATAGTATGTACTCAATTAATGATGAATGAAGATGAAGTGAGAGCATGAATACTCCAGACAGATGGGCCAGTCTAGAACCAGCCAGAGGTACCTCCTCCAACCCAGCCTCCGGCCCTCCCTCCTCACGGCCTCCACTGCCCGCTCGGACCCTAACCCACCCTCCGAGCCTGCTCCAGCTGTTCTGCCATCTCTCCCAGCGCCTGGCTGTGGCGCTGCCTCAGCTCCTGCACCGCCATCTCGTGAATGCGCGTCTCCTCCTCCAAAGCCTTCTTCAACTCCGTCACCTCCTGTTCCCTCTTGGACCTTTGATCAGGGGAAGGGGACAGGGAATGGAATTTCAGAACAGAGCAAGGCAAGGACTTTAGGGGATCCTTTGACAGCTGGTTGTGCTTCTTTTTATTGTTTCTCTCCAAGGATGGGGACCTCATTCTGTGTTTCTTAAAGGATCTGGACATTGATGCTGTGCAAGGAATGTGGCTCTAAGGGTCAACTCCTACTTATCTTTCAAAACCCTGTTCAAAAGGCCCCTTCTCAGGTAAGTCTTTCTGACCTCGCTCCCACAGTTGTGGCTTAGGGGTCTTCTCTTATCATGCTATACTACTCCATTAAAGCACCCTTTGTTCTGGGTTGGGTCTGATCTTCGCCCAAATCTGCCTCCCCCGAGCCTGGGCGTTCCTGGGGGCAATGCCCAGGTCTGACTCATCTCTGTCCCCAGGTTGGCCCAGCGCTGGTACTCAATAAGCAACTGTTGAATGACTAAACTTCTGTGTAGATGGAGAATTCTCACCCAAGTCCTTCTCCCCTCCACCACCCCTGCAAGTGCCCGGGCGGTGCCAGCCGCCAGGCAGTCCAGCCTCACCGGAGCTCCTGCTGTGCGTTGGTGGAGTCCAGCGTGTCCTCCAGCTCGCCCCGCAGGGCCTCCAGCTCCTCGCCCAGGTCCCGCCGCTGCTTCTCTGCCTTGGCCCTCGCCAGACGCTCAGCCTCCAGGTCTTCCTGGGCCTCCGACAGTCCTGCCTGCGCCTCCCGCAGGGATTTGAGCAGCTGGGCCCGGGCCCCGCCCTCCTCCTCCACCCTGGGGGCAGAGGACCAGGGAGTTAGTTACAAGAGCAGGCAGGGTGCAGAAGGACTTCTGGGGCGAAGAGGCCAGACGTGGTCTTTGGGGGTGACCTGTCTTGGGTTTAAACCCAGCTGTACCCCTGGGCATGTGCCTCCCGTACTCAGAGCCTCAGTTTACTTAGCTGTAAAATGGGAATGACACTAGTCCACTTTACAAGCCTTTTACTCCATGGTCTCAATGCTTATGACAAATGAGGAAACTGAGGCACAGAGCAGAGAAAGCACTCGCCCAGGTCACACGGTCAAAGAGTGGCAGAGCTGACCCTGGAGACGCACCTCATACCCCCTAAGAGACACAGCCTCTTGCATGAGAAGCTGAATCGAGAGACAGCGCTGATGGGGGGCTGTGTAGACAGGGGTTTGTATCCCCTGCTGGGCCACCTGCCTGGCAGTGACAACCTCTCTGAACAGCAGGTCCTGGTCTGTGAGAGGACGTGAACACCCTACTTTACAGAGCCGCCGTGAGAGTGGCAATAAAAATAATGAGTGTGCAAAAGGCTACATGCTGTATGAGCCCTCTTATCAAGAGTAGGAAAGTCCTGCCCTGGCCAGTGTGGCTCAGTGGGTTGGGCATCATCCCATACACCGAATGGTTGCCAGTTCGATTCCCGATCAGGGCACATGGCTAGGTAGTGGGTTTGGTCCCTGGTCAGGGTGCATACCAGAGGCTGATCAATGTTTCTCTCACATTGATGTTTCTCTCTCTCTGCCTCTCTCTCTTTCTCTCCCCCTTCTTCTCTCTTTCTAAAAATCAATATAAACATATTAAAATAAAAAAGAGTAGGAAAGTCCTGTGTGGACAGAAAGCAGATTGGTGGTGCCAGGGGTTGGGGGGAGGGGAAATGGGAGCGACAGCTTAGTGGGTCCCAGCCTCCTTTTGAGTGATGAAAATGCTCGAACTAGATAGAGGTGGTGGTCACACAACCCTGTGAGTGCACAAATGCCACTGAGTTGTCCACTTGAAAATGGTTAGTTTTGTTATATGAATTTTATCTCAATATTTAAAAAATAATAATAACAAGAACATAGGAATAAAATAATGAAAAGTAGTAACACACACACCCAGAATTTGCTGAGGGGCCAGAGTGTGCCAAGCATTTTATGAGAACCTTCTTATTTACTTCCTACACTAACCCCCATTTTATAGATGAAGAAACTGAGGCTACAGAGGTGATGTCGCTTGGGTGAGGTCATGTGGCCAGAAAGAGGAGAAGCCAGGGATTAAACCCAGAAGTTGGACTCAAGGGTGTGTGTTCTTTTTTTGTTGTTGTTAATCCTCATCAGAGGATATTTTTTCCATTGATTTTTAGAGAGAGTGGAAGGGAGGGAGAGAGAAACATGGATATGAGAGAGACACACCCATTGGTTGCCTCTAGCACAAGCCCCAACCAAGCAGGAGATCCAACCTGCAACTTAGGTGCATGCTCTTAACCAGGAATCGAACCCACAACCCTTCAGTGTGCAGGCCCATGCTCTAACCACTGAACATATTGGCCAGAGCAAGGGTGTGTGCTCTTAACCATGGACACACACACACTGTGTACCAGCGATTCTAAGAAGCACATTTTCCCTATAATCAAGGGCCTCTCCGTTTGCATGAAGCGTAGTGGGTCAAAAGCATCTGAAAAACCCAGCATCATACCTGGCACATAGCAGATGCTCAATGATCATGAAGGGCTGTCATTATGATGATTAGAATTCCTGAGATGGTCAGACCCTTATCAAGTCACGCTGACCCTGGGCTGCTCCACGTTGGGAGGCTCAGCAGGGGGAAGAAAAAAATCACATTTTCTTACACCTGGAACTGTGCAAGTTACTAGACACCAGGGCCTTATTTAAGCTTTCCCTTGACTGGGTGGGCTTGGAACTCTTTCCTGGGCCATTTTACACGAGGGGACACCGAGGCTCAGGGGTGTGTGGCGTGTGCCCGGCTGGTGAGCGACTCAGCTGGGCTCTGCACCCAGGAGGGTCTCGCTGGGGCGCCCCACACATTGGCCAGCCAGGCGCCTCGCTTTGGCATTGCACCTGCCGCACCTGGCCAAGGCAGCCTGCAGCTCCTCCTCCTTGCGGCCCAGCTGGGCCCGCAGCTCCTCCACCCGCTGCTGCTGCTCCACCATCTGCTCCTGCAGCTCCGAGCTCTCCCCGTCCAGCCGCCGCTTCAGCTTCTCCAGCTCCTGGCGGCCCTTCTCCTCCTTCCGAAGGCGGTCTGGAGGCGGGAGCGGGGCCATGTGCGCGGGCTCCACACGCATGCGCCCCGCAGCGCCCACGGAGACCCGCAGTCCCGCCCGCCAGTACTTTCCCAGGCGGAAAGCTCAGCTCAGCATCTCCCTCCACGCCTCTGACTCTTTCTAGCTTCCCCATCTCAGGGGGCGCCCCACGATCCCCCAGACCCTGGGCCAGACCCCCAGACGCTGATCTCTGCTCCTGGCACCCAAGGGCGGCCCCTGCTCTGCCTCCCTCTGCCCTGCCCTCTCCTCTCCCCAGCCGACTCCTGCGCCTGATCCCTTCTGCTTCCCATTCTGAGTCCCCAGCAAGGAACAGAGCCAAGGAAGTGTCTGAAACAGTGACAGGACAGTCAGACAGAGAGAGTGACCCCAAGACACCAAAGGGAGAGCGAGAGTATGGCATTGAGACAGAAACAACGTCCGAGCTGAGAGGACCCCGACCTGTCTCCAGCCCTCTTTCCCGCCCCCATTTAGCAGAGATGCCCCCGGAGGCCCCGCGGCACGGCGTGGCTGGCCAGAGGTTCCCCCAGGGGCGTGCACAGCCCCCCGCGGCTGCCCACTGGGAGCGGGCGCTCACCCTCCATGTCTGCAATGGTGGCCTCATATTTCAGTCGGAGTTTATTGAGACTCTTGACCTTCTCCTCCTCCTCTGCGGCCTGGGATGAGAACTCCGCCAGGCGCTCCTCCAGCAGCCTCCGCTCCTGGGGGGGAGGGAAGGGGGGGGCGTCAGGAGCAGCCCCCGCCCAACCCCCACCTCGGGTGGTGGTCTCATCAGCGTGTCTGCCTTCCCGGACCCCCTTGCCCCCAATCCCTTCCGTTCTCTAGGGTCTACACACCTTCCCAACCCACCAGGTCAGGCCTGGTAACTGCGGTGTAGACTTACTGGAAGTACAGCACCAATCACTGACCATCATCCCCGATGGGCCCTGAGGGTGATTCTAATCCTTTGCTCTTATAACCGCACTGCAACCCACGTCCTTGTGCGTCCGCGGCATCCACGCGCGCCGGACCCTTGCTGCAGCCCCAAGCACGGAGCAGGGACCGCAGTCAGCCTCCAGCAGGAGCTCGTCCCGCCCCACGCAGATCTGCTCCATCAGACTCGGTTTTCACTCGCTCCCCATAGATTCCTGAGCACACGAGAGTTTAAGAAGCAACGGCCACCGCTAAGGGCACATACTTCGGTTGCAGTTTGTCCCCGGCCCTGGTTGGTCGTGCGGGTGACAGCCACTCGATGTGTCCCTTCACGTCGATGTTTCTCTCTCTCTCTCCCTTCCTCTCTCTCCCTCCCACTCTATCTGTACAAAAAATGGAAAAATGTCCTCGGGTGAGGATAAAAAAAAAAAAAAAAGAAAAAAAAAAAAGAAGCACCGGCCAGAGCAGTACTTTTCACACCATGAGCAGCTGCAGAAATCCATACTGTGGGTCCACAGGACCCTTAAAAAGAAGGAAATAGATGCCGTGGCCGGTGTTGCTCAGTGGTTAGAGCGTTGGCCCGTGCACCAAAAGATCTTGGGTTCGATTTCCAGTCAAGGGCAAGTACCTGGGTTGCAGGTTTGATCCCTGGCCCTGGTTGGGGCATATGCAGGAGGCGACTGGTTGATGTGTCTCTCTGACATCAATGTTTCTCTTTCTCTCTCCCTCCCTCCTCCTCACCTCTTTCCCACTCTATCTGAAGAGAAATGGAAAAGTATCCTCGGGTGAGGATTTAAAAAAATAAAAATAAAAACAATGGTGGCAGAGTCTTTCAGTGTCCCCACCCTGGGGTGGAGTCTGAGTCCCCACCTCTTGAATCTGTGACTGCTTTAAGCTCAGTGGTCTGCAAAACATAGGGTGCAGGCCAAATGCAGCCTGCTGCCTGTTTTTATAAATAAAGTTTTATTGAAACACAGCCACTGCCATTCAATTATGAACTATCTGGCTGCTCTCATGCTACAGTGGCAGAATTGAGTGGCTGGCCCTGGCTGGGTGCTCAGTTGGTTACAGCGTTGTCCTGGTACCCCAAGGTTGCAGGTTCGATCCCCACTCAGGGCACATATAGGAATCAAACAATGAATACACAAATAAGTGGAACAACACATCAATGCTTCTCTCTTTCTCCCCTCCTCTCTGTCTAGAATCAATCAATAAATTAAAGAATGAAATAGAAAGCCCTGGCCAGTTTGGCTTAGCGGGCAGGGTGTCAGCCCGCGGACCAATGGGTCGCGGGTTCAGTTCTGGTCAAGGGCACGTACCTCGGTTGCCGTTTGTCCCTGGCCTTGGTCTGGGTTGTGTGGGAGGCAACCAGTTGATGTGACTCTAACTCATCGATGTTTCTCTCTGTCTCTTTTTCTCCCTCCCTCTTACTCTATCAATGATAAACAGAAAAATACCCTCGGGTGAGGAATGAAAAAAAAATTAAATAGAGAAAAGAATGGAGTGGTTGTGGCCGAAGTGGAGTGGCTCCCAGATGTTCACCACCTGGAAACGTTTGCCAACACCTGATGCACAGACTTCGGTGAAAGGGACTCAGCAGCTTCTGCTTCCCTCTCCCAGAGCCCTGAGCTGCTCTCCTGGGGGGAGGGAGGCCACACAGAGAAGCACGGTGACACCTGACACAGCCACCATGTGACGGTGACCGCCTGAGAGGCTCATGGTCTGACAGAGGAGGGTCTGTGCAGCCGACCCCCAGAACCATGGGATAGAATGAAATGGTGATTGTTTTCAGCCGTGCAGCTTTGGGGTGCTTGTGATACAGCAACAGGTGATGACACAGCAGTCACTCAGTCAATGCCTGCTTGAGTGGCAGTTTGACAAAGGGAGGCAAGGAGAGAGAAAGGGTTCAAGGGAAACACAGCCCAGACAGACGGTGACAAAGACCCTGGAGGCAGGGCTAGCTGGGGGCAGAGGCACACAGACACCCACGCGCCTACCGATGCGCCCGCGCCCCCCGCGCCCCCCGCCCACAGGGCTCACAGGCCACCGACCTTGCTCAGCTTGGCGTTCTGGTCTTCCAGGAGCAGCAGATCTTCCTCAAATTTCTTCAGCTTTGCCTCCGTCGTCACCTTCTCCAGCTGCAGCTTCTGCCGGGCCCCCTCCTCAGCCTCGAGGTGGGTCTCTAGCTCCTGGAGTGGGGAGGAGGGCAGGTGAGGATCAGCGGCTGGGTCTTGGCTGGGTAGCTCAGTTGGTTACAGCTGGGGGCTGGGGTGTGATGGGATGGAGGGGACAGTCCACAGACCCCCAGGGTTGGGGGCTCAGATAGATCTATACTCTGGGTGAGGCTAAGAAGGATAAAACCTTTACTGGTCTTTCTGTTTTATTCATCAGCTCAACAAGCATTTATTGAGTGCCTAATGTGCGCCGGGCACTGTTCTAGGCACCAGGGACAGATAAAAGTCTTTGTCCTTGCCCTGGCCGGGTGGCTCAGTTGGTTGGAGCATCGACCAGTGCACCAAAGGGCTGTGGGTTCAATTCCCGGTCAGGGCGCATGACTGGGTTGTGAGTTTGATCACCTGTCAGGGCGCATACAGAAGGCAACAGATCTATGCTTCTCTCTCCCATCGATGTTTCTCTCTCTCCCTTCCTCTCTCTCTAAAATCAATAAAAACCTATCCGTGGGTGAGGATTGAAAAATCAAGTCTTTGTCATTGTGGAAACTACATTCTTGTGTGTCTGTGAAGATTGTGATCAATCAACATTATAAACATGCCATGTCAATGGGCACTGGCCCTATAGCAATGACCAGGCACATGTGGAGACTTTGGTGTGAAACCAGAAATTACAGTTCAATGTTAGGAGCCGCCTTGACATCTGGTAAACTTGGGGGGACCTAAAGTGGCCTAACCACAAGCCTTCCTACCTACTCTGCTCCGTGGACAAGGTCCCCAAGCCAAGGAACCCTCTGTATCACAGGGACCAGGTACAGTGCCTGCTTATCCCTGTGGCGTGGATGTCAGTCACCTGCCAGTCGGAATTGGTCAAATAGACCAGTTACCACTTCCTGCAGGAACCAGGGTCACCTCCCCTTCTTGTTACTACAGCATCTGCCTCCCACAGCCACCTCAGGCTGTGAGTGTTCGTGACTAGCAAACTGCTGTCTCGCCACCTGGCCAGGGTCAGGTGTGGTGCATTAGGCCGTCTCCATAACCGAAGGGCAACTGGGTAAAGAGGAGGCCATGAAAACACTCCTGAGCTCTTGAAACGTGGCCAGTGTGAATGAGCAACTGAATTTTCCATTTTATTTCATTTTATTTATTTTAAATTTAAAATCAGACACCTAATTAATCTCTGGAAGTATGTTTGGAACAACTCGGGCATGTAAATGGACTTTTTCAACTTTAGACATCAGCTATGAATGCAGAAGTATCCCCAGTGGAAACTTAGCATCTGAACTGAGATGCACCTTGAATGCAAAATGCCTGTGAGTGCAGTAGCACGGAGGCCGATGGAGCCCGGAGACGGAGAGAGGCAGAGTACAGAGGATAGCACTTCAGCACCTGGATCCAGCCATGCCTGAAGCTTATACATTCTGGAGTCTGCCATTACTTGAACCAAAAAAGTGTTCTTTCTGCTTGATCCACTTTGAGCTGTTTTCTGCAAATTTGTGGCTAAGAGAGACATTGTCTGCAGAAGCAAAGGTAGGTGGGGTAGACAGAAGCGAGCGGGGAGGTGGCCTGCGGGTCCAAGGGGGCCAGACCTGTATATGTTGCTGCAGTCTCTTCTTCTCATTTTGCAGCTGGCGGCTGCACTCCTCCTCCTCCCCCACACGGGCCTCCAGCTCCGACACCACCAGCTCCAGCTCCTGCTTGCGGGCTGCCAGCCGCCCCCGGGTCTCCTCCGCCTCGGCGCACAGCTCGGCCTCTGCTCGAAGTTGCTCTGCCAGGCGGCCACGCTCCTCTTCCAGCTGGGGATGGGTGGGAGGTCAGAGGCCAGCAGGCAGCGGTCCCAGGATGGCCCTCAGTGGAGCACCAGGTCCCTCATGCCCCCTGATTCGCTTTGCTCTTTGAGGTATAGCCCCGAACCCATTCCTCCCTCAGGTCCCCAGCTCAGGATGACCCCTCATTCCCCTACTTATGGAATCAGACCCCTGGGTGCCACCCTCTTGCCTCATCACCCCACAGCCCATCAGTCCTCAGCCCTGTCCCTCTTGCCCCATAACTCCCTTTGTCTCGGCCCCTCCACTCTGTCCCCACAGCACACTCAGCCCTTATCACCTCCCAGTGGACATCCTCCCCAGCCTCCTCCCCAGCTTCCTGGCCTGCAGTCTCTCCCTCTCCACCCCCAGACAGCCTGGAGAGGCCCCTGTACCATCTCACATTCCATGAATACTCCTATGCCCAGCAGTGTAACCAAAGGAAATAATTCCGGAAAAGAAAACAGACAAACGCTCAAAGCATTTGCATCAGCATCGCTTAAGATGCCAGAAATACTGGAAACAATGAGAAGCCCACCACCTGTGTACCCTCCCCCTGCTCTGCCCCACCCCCTCCGGAGCCCCTCCCCCTGAGCATCTCAGTTGGGCAGGAACCAGCCCCCCACCCAATACCCTGGCTACACCCCAGGCTCCTGTCCTGCCTCCGGCACATCCCAATAGTTCAACCACCAAACATAGTTTCTTTGGTTTGTTTTGTGTCTTTTGAAATCCCCCCCAGGGTAATTTTCCATTTTTCTTCAGATAGAGTGGAAGGGAGGTAGAGAGAGAGAGAGAGAGAGAAGCATGGATGAGACACCTAGATTGGTTGCCTCCCGCACACCCCCAACCAGGGCCAAGGACAGAACCAGAACCGAGGTATGTGCCCTTGACCGCAATCAAACCAGAAACTCTTTGATCCGCGGGCTGACGCTCTAAACGCTGAGCCAAACCGGCCAGGGCCACACCACATAGTGTTGACCCCTATTCGGGGCTCTAACACACCTTGGCTCTCACCCGTCCTACCCTTCTCCCCACAGTCCTGCACCAGCACATTCCACTCAGCCAGAAGCCCCGCCCCTCAGAACATGACTCCGCCCACAGCCCCGCCCCCACAGCCCCGCCCCCTCACCTGTGTCAAGCGGCTCTGGAGCTCGCCCACCTCGCGGGCACTCTGTTGCTGGAGCTCCTGCACTTTCTGCAGCTCCTGAGCCCGCGCCTGCAGCACCTCATCCTGCCGCGTTACCTGCAGCAGTGGCTTCACCTGGAGGGAGGTCAAGGTGGCTGAATGGCTGGCAGGCCGCTCGGCCCAGGAGCCAAGAGCTCACACTCGGAACAGGGCCGGATTCCTGGGTTCTAAGGCCAGCTCCTCCACTGACGAGCTGAGTGACCTCGGGAAAGCACGTTCACACCCCCACCTATAAAGTGGGGGCGATAAAGCCCTACTGCCCAGGGTTCTCAGCATAAGGGAAGAGTTAACAGTTGTAAAGAGCCTGCAACAGTCGCGGGTGCGTGGCAAACATTCTAGCCGTGTTTCTTTTCTGCTAACAAACCCTCTGTATACAAGAGACACTGGGGTTCTGTAGCCCAGCGTTTCTCCACGTTCTCAGTCCCAGGTCCCTGGGGAGAAGTGCAATGCGGTGACAGGTGCCACACACATCAATACCCGAAGTGAGCTCAGACACCGTATTCAGAATCACACCAAAGAACTGTGTTTTCTCCTCCAACTCTCCAACCTCATTCCTCCTCTTCAGTTGCATGCTGGGGGAACACCCTGCTCCCAAGCTCACAGAGAACCTGATAACGTGGCTGTCCCTCTGCCTCGGGTCAGCCTGGTTCATCTGATGTGTAGTGAGTGGTCTGAATGGTCACATGACTGCCACCCCGTCAGTGAGAATGAAACCGGGACTCTGAGCTCCGAGATAAGAAAAGCCCAGGCCAGCTGGGGGCCACTCTCAACCTGCTGGTGGCCCCCGTGCGGGCAAGGTGATCATCATGGAGGGAAGTCAAGCAGGAGACACAGAATGCTGGATCACTGACATCGATGTCTGGGCCCTTTTAGTGCAGTAAAGGGTTAACTCGGCAGGCCTGGGTTGTCCAAACCCTGCTCATTGGAAAGAAAGGACTGGCCCTTGCCCAGGTCCTCGAGATAACCTCTAAGCCCTTGGACTAGCTGCCTGATGTATGACTTGGTTTATCTGGGGGTCTGGGGCCACATGGTATGAACTTGACCTCTGGAAGGGCTGGAGACTGTCACAAAGGACAAGCACATGGGCGGTCAGCCACGCCTATGTGACTGACCCCGATAAAAACCCTGGACGCTGAGACTTGGGTGAGTGTCCTCAGTGGACAATATCCCACATGTGTTCACACATCATTTCTGGAAGGCCAAGAGCTGTCTACACAACGCTACTGGAAGAGACACCGGGCAGCTTGCTCACACCTGGTCTCTCTGATCTCTGTCCTATGTGCCTTTTCCCTTTCCTGACTTTAATCTGCGTCCTTTCACTGTAAGGAAGTGTTACCACGAGTATAACTCTGAGTAATTTCTGTGAATTCTTCCAGTGAATCATAGAATCTGAGGACGCCCTAACTCAGCCCTAGATCCAGCTGTACCTGAAGCTGTCCTGCATCTTTTTTTTTTTTTTTTTTTTTTAATCCTCGCTTGAGGACATTTTTTGTTCAGATAGAGCGGGAGGGAGAGAGAGGAAGAGAGAGAGAGAGAAACATCGATGTGAAGGGACACACCGAGTGGCTGCCACCCGCACGACCAACCAGGGCCGGGGACAATCTGCAACCGAGGTACATGCCCTTAGCGGGAACCGAACCCGGGTCTCTCTGTACCGCAGGCCGATGCTCCAACCGCTGAGCCAAACCGGCCAGGGCTGTCCTGCATCTTTTATCCATGTCGGTTTGCGTCAGATTTTTTGGTCACTTGCTACCTAAAGGATCCTGATGAACAAAGGTCAGGCTGATTGGTCCCATCGTCCAGATGCAGCAAACTGAGGCCTACACAAAGGAAGTCACTTGTCCCAGCAGACCTGCCCCCAAGGTCCTGTCTCCTGGCTGCTCAGGCCGCGCCCCCAGGTGCCCTCACCTTGATGAAGAGCCGCCACCACTGCCAGTGTCTCAGCTTGAGGTAAGCTGCACAGTTGCGCTGCATCACCCTCAGCGCGCTCTGCTGCTGCTGCCGCTTCTGGAAGGCCCTGGGCGGGGAGACGGGCGCATGGGAGAGGGGCTGCCTTCAGCTCATCGACCATTGCTCAAGGCCGACTGTGAGCAAGCACTGTTCTATGGTTAGTCAATCTCATGAACAGTTCATCAGTCCTCCTGCCCTCGATTCTCTCTGCCCTGTCCCCTCTTCTGTCCCCATAGCCCCAGCCACAATTCAGGCCTCGCCTTCACCCACCTGGATCCTCACCCTCCCGTGTCCCAGCCCCCAGAGGGATCTTTCTACAGCCACCCCTCCCCTGCTCACAGTCCTCCTGTGGCTCCCCAGCACCCCAGACAAGGCCCCCGCCCCTCAGCCTGGTAGTTGGGAGTCTTTCATTTGCTGACCCTTCCTCTGGGCCAGTCCCGAGGGGAAGGAGATGCTCCTGCAAACTTCCTGAGGCCCGGAACACCTTTCCCACCCTCCTTGGTGTCCTCGTGGCTGGGCGTCCTGGTCTGCAGGGCCTCCCAGTGCACTTGCATGACCCCATCAAAGCACATCTCTGACACTTTGTCCAGTGGCGTCTGCCTTCCAGATTGAAGTCCCTCGAGGGCCAGTAGGGTGACCACCTCCACCTCGTCTACCCGGGGCTTTCTCTGTGTTAACACTGAGCACCATGCATCCTGAGAAACCTCCAGGATGGTTGGTCACCTATGTCAGAGTCTAGCTCCTCTCTGTGTCTCCAGCATCGCTCAGCACAGGGCCTGACCCACAGGGGCCTCAGGGACTGTAGTGCCCAGAAGCCTGGGCACCTGCTGGCTCTCTCCCTTTATTTCCCAGCCCCTCTGCCATCTTGGAGGCCTGGATGCCTGGGGCCATCTGGTCAACCCCTCCCTGTTCCCAGCCTTAGCCAATGGGATCCTAGGACAGTGTAATGCCCCACCTTCGAGCCAGGTAGCCCCGGGCAGCTGCCTGGAAGGACACGATGATGTCTGTGACCTTCAGGTCCCGCTCCTCTTCCAGCTGGGCCAGGACCCCCGCCCGGAAGAAAATCTTACTCTGTCCCACGCGGTAGAGGTTGGGATCTAATTCTAGGGCCTGGATCTGTAAGGGGTGGTGGGTGGTAAGGAGAAGGGGCGAGGACAGGGGAGGTGTCAGCCACCCTCCTCCACACCTGGGACTGTGCACATGCACACACACACACACCTGCACCCCCCACACTCACCATCTTCTCACAAGCCTGCTTCCCATCCATAAAGCCCTTGGGGATGGCATTGGGCGTCAGGATCTCATACCTGTAATGGATGGATGGGGAGAGGTGGGGAATGGAGAGTTATAGCAAACCGTCACCCTGGCCAGGCACTGGGCTCAGAGTGACACATGGCAATAACTGATGACAAGAAGAACAGTAGGAAAAGTGGACGTTCGATCTTAGCCATGCCCCGGGCTAAGAGCGTTAACAGCACCAGCAGCATGGACGATAACAGCCCCGCTCCTCGGATACCCACTGCATGCAGATCCAAGCGGTTATTACATCGCCACCACATTCCCCCAGACGGAAAGCAGCGGCGGGTCTCAGAATGGGAATGTCAGAACAACCAAAAATAGCGGCTGATGTTTTTAAACTTCTTACATGTCAGGCCCTGGGCTAAGTGCTTTACAGCAATTTCTTTCAAATTTCTGGGTGGAAATCAGAATTTAAAAAAATATGCCCTGGCCGGTTTGGCTCAGTGTGGTTAGAGTGGCGGCCCGCGGACCAGAGAGACCCGGGTTCGGTTCCTGCTCAGGGCACGTACCTCGGTTGCAGTTTGTCCCTGGCCCTGGTTGGTTGTGCGGGTGGCAGCCACTCGATGTGTCCCTTTCACGTCGATGTTTCTCTCTCTCTCTCTTCCTCTCTCTCCCTCCCACTCTATCTGTACAAAAAATGGAAAAATATCCTCGGGCGAGGATTAAAAAAAAATATATATATATATGGCTATGACAAACATTTTAATTGTATATAGGGCCCATGTTCTATGTCTAATGGCAGCACTGCTATATACAGTTGGTATGAAGTGTAGTTGTATTATAATATTTACCAAATTATTTGCTTTTTGTACATTAATATTTTCTGTTCTATCCTATTCCACTGCATTTTAAATTTTTTTTAATGTTAAAAAAAATTTTGTTCTTTATTGATTTTAGAGAGAGGGAGAGAGAGATGGAAACATCGATGAACCCTGGCCGGTTTGGCTCAGCGGTTAGAGCGTCGGCCTGCGGTCCTGAGAGACCCGGGTTCGGTTCCCGCTAAGGGCGCGTACTTCGGTTGCAGTTTGTCCCCAGCCCTGGTCGGTCGTGTGGGTGGCAGCCACTCGATGTGTCCCTTTCACGTCAATGTTTTTCTCTCTGTCTCTCTGTTCCTCTCTCTCCCTCCTGCTCTACCTGAACAAAAAATGGAAAAATGTCCTCAGGTGAGGATAAAAAAAAAAAAAAAAGAAACATCGATGAGAGAGAACATTGATTGGCCGCCTCCTGCATGCCCCCTACTTGGGATCAGGCCCACAACCTGGGCATGTGCCCTGACCAGGAATCGAACTGGCGACCTCTTGGTGCATGGATCAACACTCAACCACTGAGCGACACCAGCCGGGCTATTTTTTTTTTTTATATTTTTATTGATTTTGAGAGAGAGAGAAACATTGTCGTGAGAGCAAAACATCAATCAGCTGTATCTTGTACACCCCCCACCAGGGACCCAGCCTATAATCAGGGCATGTGCCCTGACCAGGAATTGAACCAGCAACCTTTCAGTACAGATGATGCCCAACTAACGGAGCCACATGGGCCAAGGATCCACTGCAATTTTAAAGAAATGCCCATTGTGCCTGGCCAATGTGGCTCAGTGGTTGAGCATGGACCCATGCATCAGGAGGTCTCCAGTTTGATTTCCTGTCAGGGCACATGCCCAGGTTGTGGGCCCAATCCCCAGTAGGGGGCATGCAGGAGGTGGCCAAGAGATGTTCTCTCTCATCGATGTTTTTATCTCTCTCTCCCTCTCCCGTCCTCTCTCTCTCTAAAATCAATAAAGAAAAAAGGTAAAGCCCTGGCCGGTTTGGCTCAGGGTTAGAGCGTCGGCCTGCGGTCCAGAGAGACCCGGGTTCGGTTCCCGCTAAGGGCACGTACTTCGGTTGCAGTTTGTCCCCGGCCCTGGTTGGTTGTGCGGTGGCAGCCACTCAATGTGTCCCTTTCACATCGATGTTTCTCTCTCTCTGTCTCTTTCTCTCTCTCCCTCCCACTCTATCTGTACAAAAAATGGAAAAATGTCCTCGGGTGAGGATAAAAAAAAAGAAAGAAAGAAAAAAGGTAAAATAAAGAAATGCCAATGGCAACACACTGATTACAATATAACGCTCTATGCTTTTTCTTTCCAGGAGCACACTAAGTGGGTATTGCTCGCCCATACCACAGAGGAGAAGACTGAGGCTCAGCAAACCTGAAGAATTTGCCTAGAGGCCCAGCTCAGAAGCAGCAGTGGGAGGCTCTGGATGCAGGTATGGTGGCTGCCAGACCCGGGCCCCACCCCGCCCCCACCCTGCTCACCGTTGCCGGAACTCCTGGAAGAGGATGCGGTTGGGGAAGCCTTGGCGACAGATCCGGATGCCTTCCAGGACACCATTACAGCGCAGCTGGTCCAGCACCAGCCTGGGCTCCAGCTTCCCAGCCTGTGAGAGAGCAAAACAGACACGCAGGGTCAGAGGCGGCCGCATGGGGGCGCCACTCCCAGGAAGGCCACACGGGGGCGCCACTCATTGCCCGACAGCCCCGAGTCAGGGGAAACCATGTGGAATGGCCATTTTGGCAGGTCAACAATGGTTGGCAATTTCCTATGGTTCGAGCTGTAATTGACTGAGCACCTACTACGTGCCAGACAGAAATCCCTGCCCTGGGGGGCTCACAGTCCAGTGGGAAGCCGGGGGTGGTCTTCTCAAACCTACATGACATCACCCGTCCCAATGGCCATATTTCCATCCCTGGTACCTTCCATGCTCTGACCTACCAATAGACTTTTTTTTTTTTTTTTTTATCCTCACCCGAGGACATTTTTCCATTTTTTGTTCAGGTAGAGGTGGGGGTGGGGGGGGTGGGGGGAGAGGAACAGAGAGAGAGAGAGAAACATCAATGTGAAAGGGACACATCGAGTGGCTGCCACCCCCACAACCGACCAGGGCGGGGGACAAACTGCAACCGAGGTACGCGCCCTTAGCGGGAACCGAACCCGGGTCTCTCAGGACCGCAGGCTGACGCTCTAACCGCTGAGCCAAACCGGCCAGGGCCCAATGGCCATATTTCCATCCCTGGTACCTTCCATGCTCTGACCTACCAATAGACTTTTGCACAAGCTCTTCTCTGCTCACCATACCACTTACCCTTCAGAGCTCAGTTGTTACCTCCTCCAGGGTCCCTTCTCTGACTCCACTGAGCAGATCAAATCTTATGTGGTACTTACCACCCCTACAAATTCAACCAGACATTCATTGTGGGCATTTAGTTGAATATCTGTGTTCTGCATAAGACTGTGAGAATACGGGTTGGCTGGGCTTCTCTCTAATGTATCCCTAGTACCTGGTACTTAGTTAGTGCTCAGTAAAATTTAAATCCCATGAATGAATGAATTTTCCTAACAGGGAACTCATTCTGGGAGGAAAGTGAGTCCCTCAAGGTCACACATTCGATCAGATGTGAGCCTGGGACGAGGTGTGGCTCCAGCCAAGTCCAGGAGCCAGGGCTTTACCCCTGCCATGGCCTCCCCCTGCCCGGCCAGGTCACTCACCCTCTTCTCATGGTTGGGGACAATGCAGCGGACGAAGCTGGGGTTGGTGTTGCTGAGCGTGGCCATGAGGCGGCTCAGGGACTCCTTGTAGAGCTGTCCCACTGTTCGGAACATGCCCCGGCGGGGGCGGCCACCCGGGGGGCCATCCCCGAGGCTGCTCACCTGCTCCAGCCCCACGATGCCCTCCACTGTGTGAAGAGGAAATCAGATGAAGGGCGAGAAGGGGATCAGGGGTCAGTTTTTTAAGGGGGTTGGGTTGGCCAAAGGTTAAGGATCTTCTTATTTATAGGGCTTGGCACTTTACATATGAAACACCTCACACAGGCTGGTAAAGTAGGTAATACAGTGATACCTCGGTTCTCGAACGCCTTGACTTTCGACCAAATCGGTATTCGACCAGGAGATTCGAGAAACTTTTGTCTCGGAATCCGAACAAATATTTGGAACTCGAACTTCCGAGATGAGCCGAGTTGAGCCAAATGGCGTTCATTCGGCCCAGCGCGCCTTGCTTGCGTCATCAGTGTGAGTGCAGACAGAGAGTCACGCTTTGTGGAGTCACGCTTTGTGGAGAGAGTCACACTTTACACTGAATTTAACCCTTAGACATACTGTACACTTTTATTTCTTGTTGAGACTTATGTTTTTCTACATATTATATACAAATTAGGCCAGTAAATAGGCATTTTCTGGGGCTTGGAACGAATTAATCCAGTTTCCATTATTTCCTATTGGGTTTCATTGCTTCGGTTCTCGAACAATTTGGTTCTCGACCGTCCTCCTGGAACGAATTATGTTCGAGAACCGAGGTATCACTGTACCAGCTCCATTGGACTAGTGGGAAAACTGAGGCTCAACAAAGCAGAAGACTGTGCCCAAAGCCACACAGCTTAGAAACTGCAGATCTGGGATTGAAACCCAGGCAGTGTGAGTCCTCTCAAACCCCGACTTCTGACCCCTTTTCTCCTCAAGAACATGAGGACTTTTCCTGATCGACAGATGATGACAACAACAGCAAACATTTACTTAGCACATATTCTCTGCTGGGTTCTTCCAAAGCACTTTACACCCTCTGGTTTATTTATAAGCCTGCGAGAATCACTCCCATTTTACAGATGAGGAAGTCGAGGCACAGAGAAGGAAAAGGGTAATCACAAACACAGCGTAGCTGCATTTTTAGGAACATGAAACAGAGTCACATTAAAAATGGAATAGAGTCTGGATTTTATGTGCAATGTGTGCAATAAGGCAATCTGCCTTCATATTAAGCATTTTTTTTCTAGAAAAGCCTGATTTCATGGTAACTCTGTTTCTCTATTGTCATTTGCTGGTGCCACTTCAGCTAGTGAGAAATACCCACCCAACTTTGATAACTGAATCAGGCCAGGTTTCTCAGGATCCTGCTACTGGGGCTGAATCTGATGCCCTGCGGTGCCCAGTGATAAGGGTCATCAGGGGTCAACCAGATAATCTGCACTTAGGCAGGGCCTGGTATATGGTGGGGACTCAGATATAACATTCTCCTCCCCAGGTTTCAACTCTATCTCCCACCGCCATTTTTACAGTTATTATCGAAATGATAATTATCCTTTATTAAACTTATAACACAGGTAAGAGCTGAGGCTCTGGGACTCGATATCCTGGCTTCAAATCCTTGCTCTGCCACTTACTGGCTGTGTGATCCTGGGCTGGTGACTTAACTTCTCTGTGCTTTGATTTCCTCATCTGTGCAAGATGGGTAACAGTACTAACACCTGCCTCAGGGGTCGTTCAGAGGATTCTACGTGGTAATAATTGTAAAAGGGCTTGCACAATGCAAGGCACATAGTAAGTGCTCAATGAACACAGGCTGATATTAGTTTTGCATGCAGTTTGGTTAGAAGGCGGCACTGAGTCTGGAAACCGCTGAGGGAGACGACAAAGAGGAAGAAGAGGCGTGAGAGACCCCCCTACGGAGAAAAGTGGGGACAGATATTCAAAACCAATTTCCAGTCCAACAGGCCCACCCTCCTCGCCTGGCAAATCTCACCCATCGATGTAGAGCAACACCCACCCCCTGGCGGAGACATGGCAGAGTCGTGCCTCCCTGAAGATCCTGGGGGCGATGGTGGGAAGGAGCCAAGGAAAGAGAACTGCTGGAAGCCCCCCTGTTCTGAGGGGTGAGGACAGGTTGGGGGAGAGGACCGATGTGGGGAGATGGCAAAGAGATGGGGGAATGCAGAGGGAGCGGTATGCGAAGAGAAGAGGGAGAGAAGGTGGTAGGAAGAAAAAAAGAGGACAGGGTTATTAGTCAACAGCACAGGGCAGAGCAGAAGGGAAAACCTGAGTACTGGCCATAACCTTTTAAAGCCAGGGAGACTATCCTGTTCACCTTTGTGTCTACCCACTAAACACATCAACGTAGCTGAAAGGACGAATGTCCTCTGTGAGAACTTAGTGCTGGAGGGAAAAAGATCTCTCTCCCTGGAGGTGGAGTCTGTATCTGTTTTGTTAGATATCTCTTTTTGCCCTGGCTGCCAGGAAGCTCTAGGACTACTTTGATGCTTCCACCCAGTTTGTTGCGTTTGTCTCTCTGAGAGCTTGTCTCATCTGCCTTTTCCCCTGGGCTGCCAGGATGCTGGGCATCCAACTCTGGCCTACAGACAGCTGTAGTAGGGATTGATGCAAAAATAGCCTTAATTTCCTACCCCTCCTTACGTCTTGCAGCTCTTTGAGTTTGGGCTGGCCTTGTGACTGCTTTGTTCAGGAGAATTGTGGGAGAAGTAACACTGTGTCACGTTCCAGTCTAGGACTCAAGGGGCTTTGCTGTTTCCACTTTCCGTCTTGGGACCCTTTGGGAGTCAGCCACATATAGGGGGGCATGTGAGGGATCACCACAGACATCATGTGTCCATGAATGAGGCACAGAAGTGAGTTAGGAGGGACATTTTCAATCAGAAGGAAATGATTCTCATAGCAGAATCTGGTTTTGTTGCTGAACATCAAACATTGCTTTTCAATCCTTCTTGTGTAATCTGTATGAGACACAGATAACAAATTTTTCTTTCTCAAATCAGCTCACAAGATCAAGGTACACAAGAGCCCTTTGGCTCTGTGAGTTTGGGAAACCACTCATCTTATTTATTTTGTTTTCCTGTCTAGTTGCATGGGCTGACACTTCCACAACTATGCTTTCCACTGCAATCAAAGATTAAAGCAAACTGACAGATTCTGAAAACCTGGAATCAGAAAAAATCCAGGATGCTGGTGCTGCCAGTTGTATGAATCATCTCTCAAAGCTCCAGGGGCAATAGACAAGACTTGGAAAAGTACAGGGTCCTACCACAAAGGCATTTGGCTTTTCTGCCCGTGCCCCTTAGATGTCTCATTTTGAAAAGACGGATGGAAAAATTCACATGGGCCTTTTTGGATCAAAAAAACTCCTAAACTATATCTCAGTCTGTTGTTCCTTTCTTCTTCCCAGGGGCCCTGAAGGGAACTTTCTGACAGAGCAAAGAAAGAAAAGTCTAAAAGTTGACCAACCTGCAAAACACCACCCTTCTGAGTTCTCTTGTTATTAATCCTTTTCCAGTCAAATCTCTTGATTTTTTTTTTTTTTTAGGCATCATATACCATCTCCAGATAATGTTATCTCTTTCTTTACAATATTTGCATACTTATTTCTTTTTCTCATCTGATTGCGTAGGCTAACATCGCTAAAACAGAGTTTCACAGCAGTGTTGACAGTGGACATCCTTGTTTTGTTTAAGGAGGAGTGCTTTATCACTGAATATGATGCTGGCTTGAGATATCAACCAATCAATCACTAATTGGGAACACTATTGTGAGACTGTCTAGCCTGCCTGCATAAGTTCTGCATCTAAGCAGAAAACTCAGTTTCTGAAACAAAGGTGCTCACACTGTGGGTTGGGAGAAGGAATGCCCAGAACTTCAGGGACAAAGACAGGGGAAGCTGGTCCTCACCATCTTTCCAGATCTCTGCCGTTAGCCGATCTGTGCTCTGGTGCAGCAGGGCTGCGACGTTGTCATTCAGAGGGTCCATGTTTTTCATCAACCATTCATTGGCCTTGTAGTCGACCTAAGTGAAGTCAGGCATTTGGAGGGTGGTGACCTTGCAGGTTCACTGACTCTCCTGATTCCTAAGGAGCCTCTCAGAAGTTCTGAGACTCCAGCTCTGGGGTTCACCAAAGGAGAGAGCATTGGCGCCACCTTGTGTCCATGTCTTGAACTGCACCCTTCGCCAGCATGACCCACCTCTGACCTGGTCCACCACCACTTTCTTCCTTATTAATTCTACCCCAAACACACTAGCTTCTGCACTGTTCCTCAAACGTGCAACGTCATTTCCACCTCAAAGATTTTACCCCTGCTGTCCCCACCATCTGGGATTCCCCTGCCATGGGTTTTCCCAGGAATGATTGCTTGGGAGAATTCAGGATTTCACTTTGAGGTTCCCACAGAGTCACAGTCTTGACCACAACTCTCTGCACATGTTCCTCCCACCAGAAAGGGGCTCCCTTAGGCCAGGGCCCAGGTCTGACTCAGCCCAGCACAGGGCTGGGCACACAGGAGGTCTTAGAAAACACACAAAGGACACACGGGACTCCTCCCAGCCACCGTGTATGCTGTTCCCTCCACCTGCAGAGACCTTTCCATCCTTCACCTGTTACACACCACTTAGACCAGACAGCCCACAGGCCAAATCAAGCCTGCCACCTCTTTTTGTAAATAAAGTTTTATTGGAGCCCTGGTCGGTTTGGCTCAGCGGTTAGAGTGTCAGCCCGCGGACCGGAGAGTCCCGGGTTCAGTTCCCACTAAGGGCAAGTACTTTGGTTGCAGTTTGTCCCTGGCCCAGTCAGGGTTGTGTGGGTGGCAACCACTTGATGTGTCTCTCTCACATCGATGTTTCTCTCTCTTGCTCTTCCTCTCTCTCTCCAAAAAATAAATTTTATTGGAATACAATCTTCATTTACATATTCATTTATGTATTCCCTGTGGCTTCCTTCACGCCACAATGGCAGAATTTAGTAGCTGTGACAGAGAACGTCTGGTCCACAAAGCTGAAACTATTCACAAGAAATGTTTGCTGGGCCTTGGTTTCGATTTCAGATCAAGCATTACTCTCGTCTGTGAAACCGTCCCTGGCGTTCCTCCTCTGGGCTTTCACTTTGACACCACCCTTAGCTGCCCCTGTTGAAGTTCCTATCAGCCTTATGTCCTAATAGTTTGTATTTGTCTCCCTTCCAGATAGGGAACTTAGTGAGGACAGAAACCATGTCTGAATTGGGTCCTCAACTTTGCTCAGCACAGGGCTGGGGGCACAAAAGACACGTTTGCCGAATGAATGGATAAAATGCACATAATTCTCCTCTTGGTGAGCTGCTATCCACGCCTCAAACCCACAGCAAACATCCCCTCCTTGAGGGAGCCTTTGTTGACTTCATCAGACAGAGTCTTCACTTCTTGGGATTTCCTAGCCCCTGCCCTGGCTGTGTCCTGTCCCAGTGGGCATCTGGTAGCCCCTGCTTTCTGTCCGCACCCTCCCCCACATAGTAGCCAAGTGGTCCCTACTGCCACCCACGTGGCCCCAGGCTGGCCCTGCCCCTTACCTTGCCCGCATAGTGCAAGACGCTGAAGTCAGCCTGGTCTCGTAGGTGCCTCGGCCGCTGGAACTTGGGGTGGCCACCCTGCTCCTGGGCCACCTTCTCTACAAAGGACTTGTCCGTGGCCTTTGGGAACCAGCACTCCTCGTCCAGCAGGGCCAGGAGTCCAGGGGGGTTGGCCTGAGCATTGACAGGAAGGGGAGAGTGAGTCAGATCCCCCGATATTGGACACTTAGATTGCTGCTAGTTTTTAGTTCTTGTAAGTGACACTTGGAGTGTCGACCCAAACATGGGAACAGTAGTTACAGCGACAGGATGGATGAGCCCGGTGATTGGAGCCAGGCCCTGTGGCAGCACATCCCGCGACCTAATCCGCTGGTGGTCACACTGATCTGTGTCGCTTTCTCCATTTAATTGACAGGGAGGCCTGCGGCCGGCAGGGTGAGGACCCGGACCCTGGCCCCGAGGACGGTGGGGGAGATGGCTGCGGGCGGGCAGGCGGGAGGAGCCGCGGGCTGGCTCACCGGCCGCTCGATGAGGTCGATGCAGGGCTGCAGGTCGAGGCCGAAGTCCAGGAAGGTCCAGGGGATGCCCTCGCGCTGGTACTCCTCCTGCTCCAGCACGAACATGGTGTGGTTGAAGAGCTGCTGCAGCTTCTCGTTGGTGTAGTTGATGCACAGCTGCTCGAAGGAGTTCAGCTGCAGGGGACGAGGGGACGTGTGAGAGGGGACAGGGGCCCAGAGAGAGAGGGACAGAGGCCCAGAGAGAGGGGGACAGAGGCCCAGATAGAGAGGGACAGAGGCCCAGAGAGAGGGGGACAGAGGCCCAGAGAGAGAGGGACAGAGGTCCAGAGAGAGGGGGACAGAGGCCCAGATAGAGAGGGACAGAGGCCCAGAGAAAGGGGACAGAGGCCCAGAGAGAGGGGAGCAGAGACCCAGAGAGAGGGGGACAGAGGCCCAGAGAGAGGGGGATAGAGGCCCAGATAGAGAGGGACAGAGGCCCAGAGAAAGGGGGACAGAGGCCCAGAGAGAGGGGAGCAGAGACCCAGAGAGAGGGGGACAGAGGCCCAGAGAGAGGCAGACAGGGACCCAGAGAGAGAGGAGCAGAGGCTCAGAGAGAGGGAGGAACAGGGCAGTGTGATGGAGCCCTCAGGCCCCAGCTGGCACAAAACGCAGACCTGGAAGATCTCAAAGCCCGCGATATCCAGGATGCCCAGGAAGGAGGCCCCCTGGCGGGGGCTGCGGTCCAGGGCACGGTTGAGGCGCAGGACCAGCCAGCGGAAGAGGCGCTCGTAGGTGGCCTTGGCCAGGGCCTCCAGCGCGAAGTCAGCCTGCAAGTGGGACAGGATGCATAGTGAGGGCCCAGCTGCCCATCGGTGGCCCCAGCCTGTCCTCTGGGGCCATCAGGAGACACTGGGCCCCCGTGGTTCAATGATGACATGAACGACAGCCGAGCATTGCTCAAGCTCTACTGTGCACCAGGCACTGCGTGAAGCACCAGGGCTCATTAGCTCACTAACCTCCACCTCTCCTGTCAATTTGACAGCGTGGCAGCGTGGAGCCTGACAACCAGGATTTGAATCCCGGCTCTGCCACTTAGAGACTGTGTTACCTCAGGTATGTAAATAAACCTCTCTGTGCCTCAATGTCTTCATCTGGAAAATGAATTCGAATAGTACCTCAGCTGAGAGTGGAATCCTGGTCAGTGTGACCTTCAATCTCGGGTCCTTGAGTCCCCCACTGTGTCTTCTTCATCCTAGTACCTCGAGTGCCCGGCCTGGGGCCAGGCAGACGCCTCTGCCCAGGAGCTGGATCCTGGAAACCTTTAGCCTGTGTTTACGTCTTTCCACTCCCACCACTGCCAGCCTGGTCTGAGCCACATTGTCATTTACTTGGATCATGGCACCAGCCTCCTCCCTGCTTCTACTTGTGCCGCCTGGACTCAATTCTCCACACAGAAGGTAAGATCTTTATAAAAAACAAAGTGAACTCTCTGTGGCCTCCTGCTGCAGAGAGAGCTAAATAAAACTCACCTCCTTACTGTGGCCACTAAGACCCTGCATGATCTGTCCTCTCCCAACCCCTTCGCCTGCAGCTTCAACCTTCCTCTTCCCCACTCACTAGCCTCCCCGGTCTCCTTAATGTTCCCAACTCACCAAGCTTGTTCCAACCCCAGGACCTTTACACGAGCTGTTCCCTCTGCCTTGAAACATCTCAGTCTCAACTTGAACATCATCTCCAGGGAGAGGACTTTCCTGACCACCTTAACCCTCTCCTTCATAGAAGGCATCACTACCTACAAGCATCCTGTTTATCTTCTTTTATAATCTGTTTTCCTACTACTGCTTTTATTCCCAGTACCTAGACCAGAGTGGGTAACTGGGCAGACACTCAGAAAAAAGCTGGTTGAGTGATCAAGGGAAAACGGCATCAGCCACTGACAGACCCAGGACCCTGGCGCCTGGTTCTCCCTGTGCCCGCCCCCCACCCCGCCAGCACCACCCACCTGCTCCTTGGTCTGTGCTTTCTGCACGTAGTCTCGGCCAACTTTGATGCGGGGGGTGAGCAGGGCGCGGGAGAAATCTGTGACCCCCAGTCCCAGCAGGCGGCACAGCTTCTGGGCAGCTGAGGACGACAGGCGCCAAGAGCCATTTAGCACCGGGAAGTGGCACTGTCCCCCACTGTTGGGGGAACAGAAGCCGGCCCAGCAATTCTCCTCTGGGACCCCAAGTGGGCAAAAATGATCCCAATGTGAGTAAAGACTGGACTGCAAGGATGTTCATCACAGCCTTGTTTATGGTGGAGACAAACAGGGAATGCCCAGCAACTGGGATTGGTTAGAGGAATTCATCCGTTTGAATGGCTATTCTAGCCCTGGCCAATTTGGCTCTGTGGTTAGAGCGTCGGCTTGCAGTCCAGAGAGACCCGGGTTCGGTTCCCGCTAAGGGCATGTATTTCGGTTGCAGTGTGTCCCCGGCCCTGGTTGGGGTCGTGTGGGTGGCAGCCACTCGATGCGTCCCTTTCATGTCGATGTTTCTCTCTCTCTCTCTCTCCCTCCTGCTCTATCTGAATAAAAAAATGGAAAAAATGTCCTCAGGTGAGGATAGAAAAATAAAAAAATAAAATGAATGGTGGTTCTACCATAATTACATTGAAAACTCATTACACGTTCAACCTACCACGTGCGCATTTCATGATATGTATATTCCACTTTGAATCAGAGGAAGAACTGTAAAAAGAATACGGGGTGCCAGTTACTGACATCCAGTTCTCCTCGCAGACCCCAGATGGAAAAAAAAAAAAACGGTACAGTTCTAGTTCATAACCTTGAAAAGTTACTCCCAATGCATTGTGGGGGGAAAAGCAAGTTTCCAACCAATTTATAAGGTCTGGTCCCAATTATTCTGCAAAGCAAATGAATAAGCGAGTGCAGAGCACACCTGCCAGGTGTGTGAATAGAGCCCCTACGCTCCAGGTGTGTGAACAGAGCCCCTACGCTCCAGGTGTGTGAACAGAGCCCCTACGCTCCAGGTGACAGGGCTAATCCACGCACCGTGGGGGATGCCCCTTCCTCCTCGTTTTCTTGTGCTGTGCCACTTTTGAAAACAAGCCTGTAGGATTTTCTAATCAGGACAGAAAGCTCTTTCCATCTCAAGGGGGAAGGGGTGTGAAGCATGATTCCATTTCTGTGACAATTATTTCCACATGGATACAGGCATAGAACAGAACCCAGAGAGAAATACCCCAAAATGTTCGCAGTAATTATCTCTCGGGAGCATGATTATGGGCAATTTCCCTGCCTTTATACGGTTCTGTTGGATTTTTTCCCCATCCAGCTTGTATTATTTTGTAATAATAAAGAAGCAGAGACTTTTCCATTTGGATTTTTCAAAAAAAAAAAGAATATCAAGTATAATTCTGCTTTTGAAAGACAAATATAAATGCAAGCCCAGAGGCCAGGAGGAGATATGCCCAATAGGCCCGGTGTTAACAGCAGGTCTCTCGGAGGGGCTAGGATGACCAGGGATCCGGCGGCGCCCCCTTTGGCACGCTGGTGTCGTTCAAACTTCCAGCAGGGACCACACTGTTTATAGTCAGGAAAAGGGTGGGGAAATGCTATGTTGGTAAAGACTCAGCAAAGAGCAGGAAGTCAGAGCGTCCAGCTAGGGAAGGGGTGCTCTGAGAATGGGACAGGGTCCCGTGGGTGGACAGCAGGCCAGGGGGTGTCACCTGTGTTGTCAGGCATGGACGCCTGATCCGTGTTCCGTTCTCGCTTCAGGGTGATGTTGCCAAACTGTAGCACCGCCGAGACCATCCGCAGCATGGCTAAGGGGCGGCAGAGAGAGAGATCACCATGTCTCCAGACCCTGTGTGCGGTCTGAACCAGCCACTGAGAAATCCAGCTTTAAAACCTATGTCAGGCCCTGGCCGGTTTGGCTCAGCGGTTAGAGCGTCCGCCTGCGGTCCGGAGAGACCCGGGTTCGGTTCCCGCTAAGGGCACGTGCCTCGGTTGCAGTTTGTCCCCGGCCCTGGTTGGTCGTGCGGGTGGCAGCCACTCGATGTGTCCCTTTCACATCGATGTTTCCCTCTCTCTCTCTCTTCCTCTCTCTCCCTCCCACTCTATCTGTACAAAAAATGGAAAAATGTCCTCGGGTGAGGATAAAAAAAAACAAAACCAAAAAAAACCTATGTCAGATCATACCACCATCTTGAGCCTAAAATCCACCCGACACTAGCCCTGGCCGGTTTGGCTCAGTGGTTAGAGTGTCAGCCTTCGGTCCAGAGAGACCCAGGTTCGGTTCCCGCTAAGGGCATGTACCTCGATTGCAGTTTGTCCCCGGCCCTGGTTGGTCATGCAGGAGGCAACCACTCGATGTGTCCCTTTCACGTCGATGTTTCTCTCTCTCTCTCTCCCTCTCTTTCCCTCCCGCTCTATCTGAACAAAAAATGGAAAAATGTCCTTGGGTGAGGATAAAAATAACAATAATAATAATAAATAAAAGGACTTAGAGCAGCAGTTCTCAACCTGTGGGTCACGACTCCTTTGGGGGTCGAACGACCGTTTGACAGGGGTCCCCCAAGACCATCGGAAAACACATATTTCCAATGGTCTTAGGAACCAGACACCGCTCCTCTATCCGTCTCCAGATGGGTCCGCCCACGTGCAGATCCGCCCACAGACAACATGAGGAGCTGTATTAAAGGGTGCGCGGCATTAGGAAGGTTGAGAACCACTGACTTAGAGAAATGAATGAGCAATATGGAAAGGTTTTTAAAATATCAAGTGGAAAGCGCAAGGGGAGGAGGGTGTGTATGGCATACTCTGTACAAAAGACAGAGAACAGAAGCACACTTGATTCTCGTTATTAGCGGCAATGTTCTGCGGTCACCGAGAACACTGAAATAGTGACTGGAAATGAATCCTCGGGGGAAATACAGGGTGTGGCTCCTGTGGGCCTCTGGGCACAACATTTTCATCAACCGATCAGTACATCACCTTGTTTGACGTGTGTTTCTGTTTGGAGACACCTTGCTAATACACAGGGTGGGAAAAAGTAGGTTTGCAGTTGTCCGTATGGAAAGCAATACAATAATAATAAGTAATAATATGCCCTGGCTGGTGTGGCTCCGTGGTTAGAGCATTGGCCTATGAACCAAAGGGTTGTGGGTTTGATTTCTGGTCAAGGGCATGTACCTGGGTTGCAGGTTTGATCCCCGGCCCTGGTCGAGGTGTGTGCAGTAAGCAACCAATTAATGTGTCTCTCTCACATCTCTCTCTCACCCTCCCTCCCTTCCACTCTCTCTAAAAATCAATGGCAAAAATATCCTCAGGTGAGGATTAACAAAAAAAAGTTAAAAATAATACAAGAATAGCCCTGGTCCGTTTGGCTCAGTGGTTAGAGTGTTGGCCCATGGACTGGAGAGTCCCGAGTTCAGTTCCCGTGAAGGGCACATACCTTGGTTGCAGTTTGTTCCCCGGTTGGAGTGGTGTGGATGGCAACCAGTCAATGTGTCTCTCTCACATTGATGTTTCTCTCTCTTTTCCTCCCTCTCTCCCTCCCGCTCTATCTGAAATGCAAAAAATGTCCTTCAGTGAGGATAAAAAGAAAAAAAAAAATACATGTTTCGTATACTCACAACATTACATCTACTTTTGCCCCACCCTGTATATTGTGGCCTCATTCACTTTGTTTTTTTGTTTTTTTTTTTAATCCTCATCCGAGGACATTTTTCCATTTTTTGTACAGATAGAGTGGGAGGGAGAGAGAGAGAGAGAGAGAGAGAAACATCGATGTGAAAGGGACACATCGAGTGGCTGCCACCCGCACGACCAACCAGGGCCGGGGACAAACTGCAACCAAGGTACATGCCCTTAGCGGGAACCGAACCCGGGTCTCTCTAGACCGCAGGCCGACGCTCTAACCGCTGAGCCAAACCGGCCAGGGCGCCTCATTCACTTTGAGCTCATGGCCAACAGCACTATCCCACCTGCGCCTGAAGGCAGCTCATCGAACACACGTATTTTCTCTGTTGGGCACATCCCAGACTCCCCGTGCTGGGAATGCAAGCCAGCACTTCAGCACGACGCTTGGAAGCCATTCTAGACGCTGAACTCACCACCACCAACAACAACAAAAGCACAAAAACCTAAAAGCTCGACAGACCACAAGAAGGACCCTGGTTTACAGTACGAGAGCTGAAATGAGAAGGCAGGGCGTGACCGGTGGGACCTCCGCGGCAGGCACTGCGCAGCTCTGCCTGTCCACCCCTCTGTGAAGGACCAGGGAGCATTGGTTCTGGGGTCCCACATAAATCTAGTGTGCAGGGGATTCACAAACGCAAACACCACGAACGAGGACGCGCACACGGCCCCCAGCTTACAGTGGTCTGAATTCTGATTTTTCAAATGTATTGTGGTGCCAAAGCGATACACCTGCGGTAAAAACTGAATTTGGAATTTTGAATTTTTTCGCCACGAGCCCGCTCCCAGTCGGCCACCGATCACAGAGGTACACGCCCAGTCCCCCGCGGTGCGCTGGTGCCTGTGCTTTTTGGACACCGTGTTTTGTGTTTTCACATCCCATCGTGTCTGCAAACACCCCGCTGTGGCTCCTGCTTCTGAGGGGAAGAGGGAGGCAGTCACGCCTGAGAGGAGAGGCAAGGTAACTGCCCTCCCAGAAGGCAATTGGCCATAATTACATAATAGCACGAGGCGTGCGACACTTGATTGTGAAATAGGCTGTGTGTTAGATCATTTGGCCCAGCTGCAGGCTAATGTAAGCGTCCTGAGCGCCTTTGAGGTGGATTAGTCTGAGGCCCAGTGGTTCTCAACCTTCCTAATGCAGCTCCTCATGTTGTGCTGACCCCCCAACCATAAAATTATTTTCGTTGCTACTTCATAACTGTAATTTTGCTACTGTTATGTCTTAGACGACCCCTATGAAAGGGTTGTTCGACTCCCAAAGGAGTCGCGACCCACAGGTTGAGAACTGCTGGCTAAGCCAAGCTGCTCAGTAGGTGTGTTAAATGCATTTCGACTTATGACATTTTCTTTTCTTTATTGATTTTAGAGGGAGAGAGAGAGGTAGAAACATCAGAGAGAACATTGATTGGCCGCCTCCTGCATGCCCCCGACTGGGGATCTGGCCCACAACCTGGGCATGTGCCCTGACCAGGAATCGAACCGGCGACTCTTGGTGCATGGGTTGATGCTCAACCACTGAGCCACACCGGCTGGGCTCGACTTATGACATTTTCAACTTATCACGCGTTTATTAGGCGGTAACCCCAGTGTAAGTCTAGGAACGTCTGTATTTGCTTGTCTCTGCAGAACTTCAAAAGGGGCAATGCTGCCCTGGCTGGTGTGACTCAGCCTGAGCACCAAAAGGAGGCAGCTGGAGTCCCGGTCAGGACACAGGCCCAAGTTTCAGGTTCCATCCCTGGTTGGGGCAAGTGCAAGAGGCAACCGATCCATGTTTCTCTCTCACATGGACGTCTCTCTCCCTGTCTTCCCTGCCCCTCTTTCTCTCTCCCTTTCTCTAAAATCAATTTTTTAAAAAAATTTTAAGTGGGCAATGCTGCCCCCTAGTGTATGTCTCAGGGACGTGTAGGGCTTGGTTGACCTAAAGATGGGTGCCATCGAGGCAATGTGTGGGGTGTTTCTGGATGTCACAGGGAGTGGGCAGGTGGGGACAGGAAGCAGACGCCCCTCTGTCCCACAAAGAAGTCCCCACATCCCGTGACTTTTTTTTCTTAATCCTTACCCGAGGATATGCAAAAATACAAATTTTTGTATTTATCTTCAGATAGAGAGGGAGGAAGAGACAGAGGGAGAGAGAGAAAAAAACATCGATGTGAGAGAGACACATCGACTGGTTGCCACCCCCACGACCCCAACCGGGGCCGGGGACAAACTGCAACCGAAGTACATGCCCTTAGCAGGAACCGAAGCTGGGACTCTCTACTGGCCGACGCTCTAACCGCTGAGCCAAACCCACCAGGGCCCGTGTGACTTCTAAAGGTCCCATCAAACAGTCACATTGTGAAAGAATGGCTTGTAATGACCTGACACTAATCCTAAGTGTTTTCCGTATAAGCACAAAAGCATTTGATTTTTTTTTTTATCCTCACCCGAGGACATTTTTCCATGTTTTATTCAGATAGAGTAGGAAGGAGAGAGAGAGAGAGAGAGAGAAACATCGACGTGAAAGGGACACATCAATTGAGTGGCTGCCACCCGCACGACCCAACCAGGGCCGGGGACAAACTGCAGCCGAGGTACATGCCCTTAGCCGGTTGCAGTTTGTCCCCGGCCCCGGCCCTGGTCAGGGTTGTGCAGGAGGCAACCAGTCGATGTGGCTCTATCACATTGATGTTTCTCTCTGTCTCTCTCCCTCCCCCTCTCCCACTCTATCTGATGATAAATAGAAAAGTATCCTCGGGTGAGGAATAAAAAAAAAAAAAGAAAAGAACACAGTTTCTGGAATTAGACAGTGAGATTGTCGTGGTGATAGCACAACCTTGTGGCTAGACTACAAACTAAATTGTATACTCTGCAGCGGCAAATTTTGCGGTCTGTTAATTCCATCTAAAACAAAACAGTTTGGGTATCATTTTCAGGGCACATCGGCTGTGCAACAGATGTGAATTCTCCCTCTCCGTCTCCACTGAGATCATAACTCGTGGAAAATGTCTGTTCCTCGCTCATCTTCCCGCTGTGTATTCTGCACGCAGTACACGCTCTATAAACGTTTTTATGAATGAGCTTTAGCTTGCCAGCTTTGGAGGAAGAATTCCTTCCACAGTCCCCACTACCTTTGGGATTC